GCAACAAATGGTCCATACTACTGAAAAAGATTTTTAAAAAAACACATGTTCTACATAATAGGCAAACTGACTGATTTATAGCAAAAATTATCCCAGCATTTTGGAGGCACACAACAACAAAGTATGGGTTTTGACCTATGAAACCCTGTAGGGCTTGGGTTCAGGTTATTTCTCTGTATGAGGTGGTTAGAACTCTTATGATCATGGAGAGGGCTACTCTCTCAAGCACATTTGGTGGGAACACGAGAGGACCTTTTAATGGCGGATCCCAGACTGTGGAGCATCCTCCCTAGGGAGACCAGCATTGGCCCCATCCCCACTTTCCTTTTGCAGGCATTTTAAAATGTACCTTTGCCATCAAACATTTAGAGCTGGTGCTGGGGTGAGTGGGGTTTTGGGGGATTTAGTAGTTTCAAAGTGTAGTTTTAAGTGCGCTTTTATTTTTGATTCCATGACACAAATTATATTTTATTTGTATATTCATATTCCAATGCATTTGCATTGTTTTAATTGTATTACGTCATATTGGCTCTTAGTCACCTGGAGTCCCTATATCAGGAGAAAGGTGGGATAAAAATTAAAGTACATAAATAAAACAAATTCCTCTCCAGTTCCTACCTGCTTTTCTCCCAAAGCAGCTCCCAATCCAGATATGGCAAGGCAAATTAGACCCACTGCTAGCAATTGGCTGAGTATCTACAGACACAGATAGACAAACAAGCTGCATACTGCCAAATGCTGGGAAAATTCTTCACTGCTGTTATCTGGTTCATGTACGCATTCACTTGGGTCTCAAAGCTAAAGAGGCAGATAGTGAGAGGAAAACAAGATGTGTACATATGTGAATCTGTGAGATGAATGTGAAACGATCCAGACTACAATGGAGGAACTATAGGTGACAGACCTGCAAGCTCAGGACAAGGGGGGGGGGATAATAATAATAATAATAATAAAAAACAGGTGGTGTAATCATGAGTCTGCTCTTAGTCAGGCTGATACTGATAACTGTATTACTGTCATATCTTCTGTGGGCAGCTGCCCTTACTAACAGCTAATGCAGGTTGAAGCCAAATGGATTATTGAAATGCACTGTACTTGGGCTTCCTTTGCAGAGTGTTTGGAAGCATCAGCCAGTCCAAAGAGTTGTAGATAACTTGTTTACTGGGGCTGGCTACAGGGATCACTGGCTATCAGTCTGTTTCTGGGCACAGTTCAAAGAGTGGGTTTATATGGCTCTATCTGGTAGAAGATATTTCTCTGTATGTGCTGGCCCAGATTCTGAGATGATCAGAGGAAGCCCTTCTCACAGCTCCATCTCTATTGTACAAATTGGCGGTGTGGAAGCAAGAGAGGGCCTTCTTGGTGGCGGCTTCTGGGCTCTGGCAGGCTAAAATCTTTTTATTCAGACAAGCTTTTAAAAGAGAAAGTGTTAAAGAACAGGTAAGAGGGTGCTGTACTATTTTAGCTGAACTACTTCTAATAAATTTTAAGAAATGTATTTAAATATTGTAACTTGTCTTATTTCAATATTCAGTTTTTGTATGTTTTAATTGAGTTTTCTAAAAGATTTGTGAGCCACTTTGGGTCCCAATCTTGTGCGGGGTGGGTGGGTTTGAAATAATTAAAATAACAATAGTAATATATTAGTGGTTCCTGAGTGAACTAAAATCTCCAAAATTCAGCCTATACACCAAAGAATTAAACTTTGACATTAGCCCTTTTTCATGTATGACAATGCTGCCCTCTAGTGCAAGGATAAGGCATTAAGAAAGGGAACGGTGGTTTCAGTAGATTATTTTGCTACTCCCCATTACAGGGACATGAGAGAAGCCTCCCATAAGGATGATAAAACATCAAAACATCCAGGCAACGTCCTTGCAGATGGCCAATTATCCCACACCAGAAGCAACTTGCAGTTTCTCAAGTCGCTTCTGACATGAAAAAAATTGCTACTATTCCTATATATAGAGCATCAAACCAAAGCTGCAGATAGTTCTTGAAAGAAGTGTACTAACAGGCCTCCAGAACAGACATGGGTATCATGTAGCCCTATGGAGGGTGGACTACAATTCCCAGTAACACCAGCTAGCATAGCCAATAGTGAGGAATGCTGGGAGTCACAGTCATGATCCAAACCATTCTCATATTAAAATAATGGTGATGGGGGTAACATTGATATGAGCACCTGTTTATTACAGAATGCTAACCATGACATGCCAATCCAAAACAATGGTAAATTATAGTATTGTTCTTTTCTGGTTTTGTTGTACCTATATAGCTAGACAAATTTTGACAACTCGTGTGCCCTGATTTCACTTTACCTTTTTCTTTAACCTGAGATGTAATATATTTGTGGGTCTTTATAACATTTGGGGCAAGAGGGGGAATAGGGTGGTAAAGGGTTATGCTTCAGTTAATGGTGCTTTGCAGTTTCTAAGAACTTTAAGATATGGCAGCAATTTTGCAACAATTTTAACACATTTTTCAAGTATCAGTAAAAAGCTTTTGACAGACATAAAACCATTCCTTAAATATATGTTGCTACAAATTCTATATGCATTACTATAGAATCTGGCTATATAGTAAGTCCTATGTGAATGTGCTTTCTAAGATTAGTTTTCAACTTATTTTAGGTTTCTCCCAAGGGAAAATACCTACTGGAAAAGCACTGAGAAATGTTGAAATTGACTTAAGAAACCTGCCTTACAGCAATTGGTTGGCCTTTTAAAAATTGCTCTTAGATCACAGACATTGCTCTCTCCCATCCTACTGATTTGTGTCAGGTCGCTGTTTCCCAAAAGGTAAAAATTAAACGAATGTTCAGCAACCATGTCAGATAATCTGAGTGTTTGGTTCTGCCCCTTCCTTCTCTCCCCAGAAATCACACTTTCCCAGAAAGACAGTGCCTGAAATCAGATAGTAAATGCAGTCCCCTGTAAAGGTGGTGTAGATTCATCTTCATTAACCCGGACACTGCCATCACTTCATTGTCAATAAGCAAACTCAAACTGTATGCATCCATTTCTTTTACCCACTCACCCATTTCCACTATCTGCCAATCCCAGGAGTTTTTATATTAGATGGATTGCACCATACACATCATAGTCTGTAATACTTGAAATATATTGTCTTTGCATAGCTTTGCATGTATATCCCAAAGTACTGTGTCTAAGCCAAATTGTTTCCTCTGAAGTTATTTATGTGAAATAACCAAAAAAGGGAACATTGTCCAGGTGTTATTCTCCATTCAATGGTGTGGAGGGAGCAGAGCTTGCATTAGTCAGAGAGGTGTCTGTTTCAGGCAGAAGAAAATGAGTGGTATGGAAGAGTCAGGAAAAATGGTTATCCTAGTGCAGTTGATTTATTTAGAGCAGTGGTTTCCCACCTTTGGTCCTCCAATTGTTTTGGAAATCAGCTCCCAGAGATCCCAGCCAACTTACCAACTGTTAGGACTTGTGGGAGCTGAAGGCCAAAACATCCAGAGGACCAAAGGTTGGGAACTACTGATCGAGAGCCAAGATAATCTGGTTGGTTTAGTATGGTTCTTGAGTGGGGCATCATATAGGCAACAAAATCGGGTTGGCTCACACAGTCCTTTCTGATTTGAGGCCTGGGGCACTCAAGGCTTGAAATTTGGTGAATCGGAGGAACACAGGTGTAAACTGGAGTCCCACCTCTTCTAAAATCTCACAGTTTAGGGAAGGAGGGTTTCTGTTGGAGAAGTGTATTGGCTAGGGTTGTAGTACAACCTGCAAGTGGAATCAAAACTCTCCCATGCATCCTAAGGCCTGGGACATCCTTACCATGGAAAACATAGTATGCAAGAGATCATGATATCCACGGTAATTCCAATATGCACAGGAGAGCCTTCCTGGAGCTCATTCATTTGTAGCTTGGTGGAGCACTAAAGCGCTCAGGCTGAGAACTCTGAAAGCCCCCCCCCCCCCAAATTACAAATCCACTGAAGTGGAATGAGAGTGCTCCAATTGTATAGCACAAATGGACTCAGCACTCTGACACTGCTTTAAAAAAACAGGCCCACACACAGCCATTCTTGCTTAACCAGTTTTATCCAATAACCCTCTCCTCTCCACAGAATTTCTTTCTGTTACCAACTGTGCGAAAAGTTGAGCTCAATAGGTGTGCTTGTTAAAGACATTTCCAGTGCAAGGGCAACTGGGAGCAGTATGTTATGGTCTTGTTCTCTATTTTAATTCTATATTTATTTATGTATTGTATATCCCTTTTTTCTCCCTGTATGTGACCCAAGGCAGGTCACAGTGTAAATTAAAAACTAAGGATAGTGAAAACATTGTATAGCACAAGTTTAAAAAAAAAACACCCGTATCATTATTTTAAAGTAAAAACAGCAGTTAAAACCATAAAGGCAAACACCAACAACCACTCTCCTCAAATTAAAAGACCTTCTGCAATGACCAAGAAAGAGATAATGCCCTGAATAAAAAAAGGAAAGTGGGGAAGAGAGCACCAGCTTCCTGTGAAAACTTTTTGACCCAGGGGCATCTACTGAGAAAGCAATGGTAGTAGGATCAAGAGAAAGCCTATACTATTGTGAAGTATAAAAACAATAGTTATAAAATAACACTATAATTGTTAATTATAGTGTATATAGTATATCGGTGACTAGCATAAAATAACACTATAATTGTTAATTATAGTGTATATAGTATATCGGTGACTAGCAGCACACAGCTATCTCCCAAAATTGGTAGTATGTATCCGAAAATACAAAAGCAGTCATATGTTGAACTATAGTTTCTGTGGAACATATAGAACACATTCATGGTGACTACTGACAAGTGTGATGTTATCAAAGTAGTGGAAAAAATAGCACCCAATTTGAGATATCAAGAAGATGATCTGTTGGCAACAGATGATAAATGATCCCACTGCCCCAAGGTCCATCAAGCTTGTCTAAAGACAAGTCAGTTTGCCTGAAACCACAAGATTATTGCAACATTTCACAAAAAACATCAGAGTGGAGTCAAAGGTTGGACACAGGTTTATGTAAAAAATGAAGTGTATTTCAGAAGAGTATTTGAACATCAACATGCAGGTACAACAAGAATAAAAATTATTGCACCTCTCTTTATGTGGCAATTGTTCAAGTTTCTAAAAACACTTATATCCCACATTGTCTTCTGCTAACCAGGTGCTGAGAGGCACCAGCTTGAAATTGGAACACAGTGTGAAAACTGTGCTCACAGCCTCCAAAGTAACAAAAATCAAAACACAATTGTAAACACACACACACAGCTGTAAAATCACCTACTAGAAATACGGCACCATTCTTCATGTCCAGTAAAGATAAAACTGGAGAGAGACTTCACCCCTCCCCAGAGGAAAACAAACAAACAAACAAATCAAAATGTCACACCTTAATTCAGTGCTAATGTAGAAAAAAAAAACCAACTGCAGGTCATTCCCCCTTTTCCTGCTCAATGCCAAGTATCTTTTCACAGCGTAATGAGCACAGTAACATTTTGGACATGCTTCTCTCAGGATGGGACTTCTAGCAATGCTAAAATCTAATATTTACATTAAACATCAGTTTGATGGTCTTAGTTGCACCATTCAATGGTGTGTAGTATTGCTGAGGAATGCATCACCTGGATACTTAGAAGTTTAAAAGGCTGTATGAAGAAAATAAATGAAATCTAGATATATAAACTAAAACATGAAATACTGGGAAAGCAATATGGTAAAGATGGCTACATGTGTATTTTGCCTAAACAGAACACAATGGTGATGTCTGAGCTAGCTTTATTTATGGACTGAGTACCTTAACTGGACTACAGACAGTCACAATTACAACTGTTTCCCCTCAACATGTTAACAACGAGTTCAGGAGGTCTGTTACACACCACCTCCTGTTAGGCTTAATGGTTGTAAGTGCTTTCAGTATCTTAAATTCTGCCCCCTGTAACATTATGATTGTCAGAACTCTTGTATTCAAATGTCAACGTGTAAATCCCATTTATTAACATGAAGTTTGGGTAGAACTATCTCCAGCCATGAATTTTTTCTCAAGTAGGTCCACAGTTAAATGAATCTAGCAAGTGGTGAGAGATGGACACTCCTGGAGGCTTTAATGACGACAGAAGTTTGCTGTTAGGTAAACATATCAAAAAGATAACATCTATGTAGCATATCTATAATACATAAATGAGGTGTCCCAATATGGTTTATTTGGCTAAACTAGATAAACACTTCCTTTGGCTATCTATGTGTGTATAGATGCTACAAAGTATAGTTGAAGCCACACCATTTATCCACAGGGCTCAAATCCATACTGTGTATATCATGACATCTAATTATTTTTACATTACTTTAAATCAGCATGTACTTTCAGTGGCTATTGAATGATATGAAAAACAATTCCCTTTTTCTAAATGAGTTGCTGTATCCACATCTGACTGCCTTTGCCTGGAGTTCAATGCAGCAAATTGAGAGAAAAGGCAGTTCAAACACAGGCCTAGATGCCAACACATGTGGCGTCTACTCTTCTATGCTGGTGGCAGGACTAAGGAGATTAGTGTACTTTATCTGTGAGAATTATTACTCTTGAAAGTCTGAGAACTTAATATGAGAAAACCAATGTATCTTCTTTTACAGCTTTACACCACGCACAAAAAGCATTACACGCACACACGCACGCACACAAACACAGTGGTTAATGTAAAAAATAATCCCAAATCAAACAAGTTGGTCCAAAACTGAAACCAAAGAATCAAGAGCTAGGCAGTTTTTGTTTTGTTTTGTTGTTGTTGTTTTTTTTGGGGGGGGGAGGGGGTTCAAGAAGTTCAAACAAGAACCAAAAGGCCATTGAAATGTGATGACAATAAATTTAAGATCTGCTTCCGAGTCAAAAAGTAGCCTTTGTAAGGTGAAACTGAACAGCAGAAGGCTTTATATCAGAAACATGGCTGAGTAATGAAGCTGTATTGTAATTAACTGTAGCGCATGCCCTAGGGAGCTATTACAGTTGCCATGTGATCACCTCTTGTTTACAGAGAACTGTGGACAATGCAAATGATTGCTTTCTCTGCCCACATACATTTAGCAGCCATAAGTAAAATTCACAAGAATTTATGGCATTTGTGCAAGTTGTCGTCTTGCCTATACATTGTAATTAGATTCAATAAGGAATAGATCTGAAATGCTTCATCTACTGCTTAATTGTGTATATGTATAGTTATCTGTCTATATATCAGTGCAGCATTACTGGTCTAGGCAGCTTTGTTTGAGTTTCCAAAAGGTTACATAGGTAACAGCATTTTAGAGAGAGAGAAATCAGATGAACAGAGAAATCTGAATTATAACAAATGTATAATTAATTTGTCATCGAGGGGCCAGTTAATTGTATTCTTACAATTGGATAAGTAACACAGCGGCCTGTCTTAGCCTGTTCCTGATGGATCCATAAAAATAATTCCTTCCAATGAAATCAAATTTGTCAACTGTTACTTGTGTTTACTAGTAGTTATGCTGTCCCACAAGATGGGAGGAGATAGTTTCAGATGCTCAGAAACATCTCAGTGGTGCAATTTGGGATGCTACTTCACTAAGAGCTAACCAATACAGCCTGTACCTCTTTTAGGTACTTGCCCACTGAGCAAAGTGAGGCTGGTAAGGCCACAAGTATTTAAAAATTCTAAATAAAAGTTGAAGATGGCATCATGCTTCTTTTAAAGCATTTTTTTTAAAAAAATCATGCACAAACTGAAAGTTTGACATTTCACTTAACAGATTTTTTTAAAAAAGGAATATTTTCCAATTATACAAGATGACATGCAAGGTTTCCTTCAAAAGTCTACGATATGTGAGAAAAAAAGTGTGCAAAGACAGAAAATATTTCAAGATAATTTTGCCAAAGGTATTATGGTAGGTCTTTGCCAATGTAAAGAAGTGACCAAAATTTGGCTCACAATAACTAAAATTTGGAACTGATGTTCACAATGTATGTTCCTCAAGTGAGCCTTGTTTTGTAAGTGTATGTTCTCAAAAAGCTCAAAGTGAAAACTATGCAAAGGGCACTCCAGAACGAGGGCATTTTTAAATGGGAAGGGGGAGAGGACATTTGCAAATCAGTTTGTAATTTTTCTTTAAAGATACCTTGTTACGAGGCATCAAATGGCAAATGCTGTGTACAAAAATAGAATTGCAAGAATGAAAAAAGGCAAGAGTGTGAAAACACAAAGTTACAAAAAATAGATGTACAGGTTTTCTGATTTATAACTGTGTTCTATTAATGCTGTCTTTTTTCTGAATGCAGAATGCTATGTTTCCTTCGCAACATCACCTTCTGATGATAGGAGGTCTTTTGTCAGTGACTGACTTCCAGCCTCTCTGGTTTCTCCTGGCATCCGGGTTTTCTCCTTTTTAGGACTCAGGCGGCCATCTGGTCCAGAAGAAGCCCCCATGTTCAGCTCCACAATGCCATCTCCCTGATCTTCAGGTGGACGGATCTGACTCTTTGCCTTCAATGTTTCAGGTACATTAGAATTGCCAGGGATTGTCTCTTCTTCTGTTCCCTCTGAGTAGCCTGACTTCCAAGACATTCTTGTGCTTTCTGACGTGAGGTGAGAACTACATACACCAATGAGATCCCCAATGCTCAATGTTTTGGCTGTTTCAACGTTTGATCTTTCTCTTGGTGCCTCCTCCATTCCTTGCTCAGATACACTCTTTTTCATACAAAACAGTTCCTCCCGAGGGACCTCCCCTCTTGTTTTTTCTAGTACTTTTGAGCCAGACATGTTGGGATTTTTGGAATCCAGCATTCTTTTAGCATTGGTTACCAAATGAACTGGCCAAGGGGCTTCTCCACTTTCAACTGTGCAAGCTGAACCACCTGTAGAACAACTTCGGTTTTTATCCATTGGTTGACTTTTGTGTTTTGAAGTTGCTACACCAGAAGATATCTCTTCTAGTTCTTCAGCATCAGACAATCTTTGTGCCGACATTCTGCCACTATTTGCCCAGTTCCACATACTGATATTTTCTTGGATATATTGGTGCCCCTGTTTCTGAGGTACATCTTTGCAGTCTTTTTGGCTTAGTAGTGGAAGAGAGCTTATACTACTTGTGCAAGTAGAGGAAAGTGCAAACAAAGGCATAGATTTGTGGGATAACATGTGAGTAGATTCCTCAGAAGCAGACATCTTCACTTTATCTTTGTCATGTGCCAGCCTCAAGCAATCACCTTGACCAACCTGCAAGGATCTCAGTGGCAGGCACTTCCCCTGCTCTGGGCAATCTATGCTTTCTTGGATAGCCACAGTTTTTTTAGGATCTTTAGCATCTTTGATATCACTAATTGTATTGCCTTCTATAGTCAACAATGCTATTTCAACTTCTGATGCTAACTTAATTGTTTCACAGTTACCAGATTTTTCTACCGGTGAAGTTCTCACAACAATCTTAGTCTGTGACCTCTCTATATCAGGCAGTGGTGTCCCTGTAATATCCTTTGGTTGCTCTTGGTTTGCCCTGTTCTGCAAATTACCAGGTTTTGGTTCCTCGGGAAGGAAAGCATCTTCTTCCATACTATCTTTGCTTTCCAACTTGGAAGAAAGCTTCATCTCCTCAGTGAAAGAATCAGAAATGTGATGGTCTCTACTGAAATGTGGCCTGTCCAATCTTTTCCCATCTTGACTATCTTCTGACCCTTCATCAGTTTCATCTTCGGAAGAATCTACTTCAGTGATGGCCTCTTGCTTCTGCAAAGACTCTCTCCTGTCCACCCGATCTTGCCGAATGGCCCCTAGTTTTCTGGAAGGTTTTTGGAGCATCCCCTTTTCTGCAAGCCCAACTTTACCTCCGGTTGCTTCATTTATTGATTCTTGCCAACTCTGGAGGCCTGGATCTCTTTGGAGCATTTCCTTCTTGAATTCGGAATGAGAAATGTCCAAACTGTGCTTGCGTGAAGAGGGTAGCTTCTTTTCTGAGGAGGACAGTGAGGAGGTTAGTTTTTCGGCTGACTGCACTCTTTTCAAGAGAGGAGATCTTGGTGGTTCTGCACTCTTAGGCCTTGACATTTGTCGGACGAGGGGTGGGGAGGAGTGTAATTTTACAGGGAAAGACTGCATGATGCTTGAACTGCCAACTGAATGCCCAGGTAAAGGAGAAGGAGAACGCTGAGGTGATGTGGACTGTGGAGTTGGTGAGGGAGTATGTGCTAGTGGTGAGAGAGGAATGTTCCCTGCAGATTTACGTCTTGGTGATCGATACTGCCGTTGAAGTTTTGGTGCTAATCCATGCAAAGAGCTGGGCCGGATATGTCCTGAACTAGCTGGAGAGTTAGGAACACTGGAACTAGGCGAGCTGCTCTGAGAAGAGTTTCCACCCACTGTAAACATCAAAAAAGAGAATACTGTATTATTATCATCATCATCATCCAATTTATTTCTACCCGACCTTTCTCCACATGGTAGCTTAATGCAGCTTACAATAACATGACACAACCCAATAAATTAGAAACATGGCAAATACAAAAAATAAAAACAACTAAATGTTTTTCATGGAAACAAGTTGAAATACTCAGTTTAGATACAGTAAGTAAAGAAATACCCAATTAAGATACAATTAAAAATTCCCATACAATTAAAATTACATTTAAAACTAAATATCCTTTCCAACCCCAACCCACAACCTCACCAGCAGTGTGCCCCTCATCTTCCCCCAAATGCCTGATGGTAAAGAAATTTGAAATACTGTAACATTTACATCACGTGTAAATGGCTTGTTGAAATCTTGCACTGGCAAAAAGGAATTAATACTGCAGCTGAAATCTACTGTATCAGAAAGTGTCAGGTGCCAGTTAACTTCAATCTGTCTCACCCATCTACACCGCTGTCCAGCTTTTACAGCATGTTTGCCTGCCATTATCCTGCCAGGGCTCAGTTATGGGCACTTTTAGCAGACCAAGAAAGTTACTTCTAAGAAAAAATACCAATAGAAACAATGTTCTAAATCTGGTTTTAGGGATCAATTTGTTTGCTCAGGCTGGACATGTTGTTTCAGCCATGTCAACTTTATTTTCAATTGCCTCTAGTTTTCTGCTTATTAATTAATTAATAATTCATTTAATTGATTGGTTGATTTCAATTTTAAAACTAATATCCTGCCACAGAAACGTTTCTGCATACGATAATTGCCTTTGCTGTTTTAATGATATATTTTTATGTAATTCCTTTGCAAACTACCTTGATGGGATTTATGAAGTATAAATTCCACTGAGTGCTGCAAAATTGGTCTACATATAAAGCATTTCTGCTAGGCAAGATCCACCCCATCCAATACTGTATAAAAATAAATATACAGTAGTCACTGTTTTTCAAATATTATGGAAGTATGCTTCTCTCCTGAAATCGTTAAATATCTCACAGTATACATTGCCTGGTCCCAATCATCTAATTCAGGCCTGCACAATCTGTGGCTATCCAGGTGATTGAGAATCCAGTTCCCAGAAGCCCTAACCAGCTTGTCCAATGGCCAGGAATTCTAGGAGGTGAAGTGTAAAACACCTGGAAAACCACACGTTGTGCATGCCTGATCTAATTTCATCCTGTCTCCAGTCCTCCCCACCTGCCCAAATATTTTTTACTTGTGAGGTTTTATTCATTTCTATGCTATATATAATTTCTGTTACTTGCTCTCCATACACTTGAGGTAAACTGACTTGTACCAGTCAGATGCTTTTGCTTCTTTTAGTGCATTCCAAATTCAGAATGACTATTACTACTACTACTACTACTACTACAAATAATAATAATAATAATAATAATAATAATAATAATAATAATAATAATAATAATATCCCGTCCTATCTTCCCATGGGGACTTTTCCAACAATTCACAAAGTAAGTCTACTTTGCTCCCACCATCTGAGAAAACATCATGAGATTACAAACCCAAAGGTTTAAAATCTGTCACTATCTCCACTTCTACCTGAATGTGTGGAATCGGGAGTAGACCGGTAGCTCTGAGTTGGTGAACGAGGGGAGAGGTTGTGGGTTGGTGAACCAGGAACACTTTCTCCAGATGACAGAGAACGGTTAAGAGAAGACAGACTTCTGCTGGTGTGAAGCAGAGATGCCTGCTTGGTGATCTTTCTGAACAAAGAGCTCTTCTTCTTACTAGAAAAAGTGAAGAATAATCATTTGTAAATTTAAAAAAAAGACCAGATTCAAACTAGAGAGACTCCATCTGCACTGAGACCCTCTATTATGGATGAGGCACAGACCCAACAGTTTCTGCACACAGAAATGAAGGAGAGGAAAGGCAATTTCTTTAATGCCTGCATTGGCCCTCAGTGATTTTTATACCACTCCAGAAGATTTTAAAGGGATGGAAACTGAAGTGGAATCTGAGAGACTGTATTCCATAATCAGTAACTCTGCTCATTAAACTCTGGATTCAACCCACAGTCTACTAAAAATTCTAGCTGATTTATTCTGCATAATATTTGTGTCATAAAAACAATATTTGCTGATGGAAATTTATTTCCACCAATTACTGGGAGACAATTTCGTTTTCCATAGAAAAAACTCAACTCACCTTTCTTGTCCATCTTTTGTTTTACTTTTCTTGTTTCTCCTTGCCATCTTTGATTTGTAGCTGGCTTTCCGAGCTGGCCCCACTTTGATTGACGTATTCTCAAAAGGTGTAGTAGATATGGATACTTTATTCCCACTCTGCCAGGAAGAAAAACACACATTTTAATATTTTTATTCGTTCCTTCTGAGTAGCTGCATGTTAAACCAAAGGAAATACCAGTCCATCCGTGGCTGTCTTATATTCCCCTGATTAATTCTTTTCTCCCTTTCCAATATTTATTTTGTCTTTAGAAAATTGTGCTGGAGGCACATCTTCAATTTCTCATCTCACTGATTAAACAACGATTTTTCTAGCTGACTGACAGATTCGGAGAGCTCTAATTTTGTGGTACTTCATTTTTCCAACATAAGCTTTATAAGCAGCAGGCAGTCAAGTAAATTAGAACACATCCACCACCAGTAGCTTCACGCTAGAAATTCTGTCAAGTGGCTGTCCAAGTCTCACATTGCTACATTCTTTATATTTCATATTCTTCTGCTAAAGAGCTGCCACCAAACAGAAACCACCTTTGTGTAAGAACTGGATGTGTTTATTCAGATTACTTCCTAAACAATTTTGCAGGCAATTGGTTCCAAAGGTATGTTATGTTTTTGACAAATAACTTGCTGTCAGGAACACAACATAGTCAAGGAAGCAACTGTGTCATTAGTTAGTTGTAATGTTATGACAATTTAATAGATTTCCATAACACTTGTGCTATTCTAATCCCAAAAGTAAATCAGGTTGTATTCACCTGGCCACTTGGACAAAGCATGTCTGCAGCAAAAGATTATTTCAGTAGTAGGAAAATGAAATACCTCTGAATCAGAAATGTGTATTTGAAGGGAAACACCTGAAACTCCCATATAAAACAATCAATAAGTGCACATTTAGTGTGCTAGAAACATTCAATAAGGAAAATTCCTAAAATCAATCATGACAAATCCTTTTTTAAATACCGCCAGCAATATGGGAAAACAGCAATAAAAGATGGTAGGTACTGTTTGCAGCTATGAAATCAGATGAAAATTCAAAGAATATTTTCCTCAATGAGATATTGTTTTCTGGCAGAATATATCATGTTTTGGATTGCTGGAAACAAACAACAGAAAAGGGTATTTTCTGCTTTTTACAATTTTTGTGAAAGTAGTTCTCACATTTAGAGTACCACAACTGGGAATGCCCTTTTCTCTCTACAGATCAGATGATGGGTTTTCACACGGAACCCAAATGCTGGAGATAGTAATGTATAGATGAGCACATAAAGTCTTTTAATTGTCAAAGGCTCTCATGGCCGGAATTACTGGGCTGCTGTGAGTTTTTCAGGCTGTATGGCCATGTTCCAGAAGCATTCTCTCCTAATGTTTTGTTTGCATCTGTGGCTGGCATCTTCAGAGGTTCATTTGTAGCTGGCATCTGGTCAGGTTATTTCTGTACAGCTGGAACCGCAGCCAATTGTCTGTCTGGTAAAAGATGCCCTGTGCAACCTACACTTTGAATGAGGAAAATAGATCTTGCCGCAACCTCCAAGACACTCAACAATGTCTTTTAACTTAAGTATTTTGATTTAAGCACATAATGCTTGTCACAGAAAACAAGTACCTTCAGGACCAACTCCACCACTTCAGTATGAACCAATCCATGAACAGGTTCTCCATTCACATGGGTGATCAAATCTCCTTCCCGAAGACCTGCCTCACTAGCCGGTCCACCTTCCTCAACATGCTGTTAATATGAAACCAAAAATGTTAATGTCAAAAAACAGACATCTCTGTCCATATGTGGGCCCATTCTTCATTTCCATTTTTAAAAAAACAATTTGGCTGGTATACATTTCAGAACACATATGCCAGTAGTTACTGGAATGCTCACTGCCAATTTAATTTTTTTCTTCCTCATTCATAATGATACTTCATCATAGCAAACCACATCACTAGGTCATCTAGCAGACATTCTTTGGTATATCAGACAGAGGGCGTTCCCAGCTCTTAGACCTATGGCCCTTTAACCTGAAATATGAAGAGCTGGATCTGTTCCCTCTTATGTGCAAAAACAATGTCTTGTGTCTATCTCTAAATACAAATAGGTACAAATACTAACAGTCAATAATAGTTTAAACAGTTGACCCCAGTGATTAAAGAGATACAGTTGTGGCATGTGACGTGTGCTTTATTGAAGCTAAACTTACTACCTAATGCAGTCCTTGTCAAGGTCAAATGGAATAAGGATTAGATATATGTTTACAAAAGCAATTAAACTACTCCATATCATTATTGCATCAGCGATAATTAAGATTCAAACAATAATCTCCTTTTAAATGAAGAAAACATAAGTAACATCTATAGGGAAATCAGGGCGCACTTTAGCATCCCTTTTCTCTTCCACCTGTTAGCAAAATTAAAAATGGAAATTGTTATTTGTGAGAATACTGAGGCAAACAACTCCAAAAGAGAGGATATATATATATATAAGCCAGGCTGACCGAGAATGTGGATAAAGAAGAAACAGTACACAGTAATAAGCTACTTGGATAACTCACAGCTGAACTGAATCCCAAATCCCTAGTGAATTCAGTGATGCTTTAAGACATATAATCAACTCCAGGCAGATGTGTGAACAGTCCTAAGGGAAGGAGATGATCTGAAGCAGACTATCATTGTCAAAATAGTTCCAAAGGAATTAAATGCAATTAACATACAGGTTACAACTCTGGTAGAGAATATCTCCTAAACAAATGTGCACTCATTTCTGTGGAAAGGATTCACTTCTTCCTGAGGTGATTCTAGGAAGTTGTCCAGGTAAAAATATGGGATTTTATTAGGCTCTCATTATTAAATGCCCTGTTATCCTCATATTAGTGTATTGCTATGCCATACAGTAACTAAACAAACTCAAAGAAGAATAAACATACCCAAACCATGTGATGCACTGTGTAGATATCACTGTTTCCCATATAAACTCTGATGGCACGAAGCGTGAAGCCATATTTCTTCCCAGCACGGTGGATGATGATTGGTGGTTTAGGGTTCATGACAGCGGGAGAAAAATCTCGACTTGGAGATGAATCTCTTGAAGATGGGTTGGAGGAGAGAGAATGAGGTGACATTGGACTGGCGAGTGGAGAACAGGTATGGTGCTCTATAGGAAAATGAAAATGAATTCCAAATTAGCCTTGCTTACAAGAGAAAATACAAGTTGCATAATACAAGATTAAGAAGACTGAAAAAACATATCGTGAAACTTGCAACTATATTTGAAAATGTCTATACTGGTAGTCATTCCCTTTTTCATCAAACAAATGCAAGCTAAATATTTCACATGATTTCTCAAAAATATTTTTTATCAAAGATATTATGATAAAAGTATATTTTTTTGCTAGAACTTTTTTTTTGGCAGAAACAGAAAGCTATAAATGTATTAGGGATTTTGATGCTTAAAAGTACTCTAGAAGAATCACAAAAATGGTATTTTTCTAATATCTTACCTGAGGGAATTAGAAGGGAGAGGGCAGTGGCTGACGCTGACTTAATCACTTTATTGACAGGCCGTGAAGTCCGTTTCTCCCCCGACTCACCAGAAAGTAACCTATGACGGGCTCTTCGCACTGCTAAGTCACTTGTGGCTTTTGGAGTAGTAAATTCTGAGCCTTCATTGCTATTACTGCGAGTGCGTTGATCAGAGAAGTCTGTATTGCTCCCAGCTACAGTTTCAATTAAAATAGATTAGAGCCATAGGGAATTCGTAACAGCCTGTTCCCCTGCAGGTTCATATATAAAATCAAAGTCATGTTTACACACAATCCAACAGTGAACTTTTCTCAGAAGCAAACCCGGGCCCCAAAGTCTTATTTACAGATGTATTTAACTAGGGGAGATACAATCTCAATAAAATTACCAGCATTCCCATTGCTATTAAAAGAAGCATAATTAAGCTAAAGAAAGATAATCTCCTCCACACTGAATAAAATTAGGTCTACTATGGTGTGGGAAAGTAATAAAAGTTTGAGATATTAGTGAGAACTGATGAACCAAATAACAGGAAAAAATCTGAGAGGAGCACCTCAATTAGCCTTATTAGTAAATAACACAAGTTGTCTACACATTATAGATACGACATTCTACATTATACACTAACATTAAAAAATAAGCATTTTTAACATGGAGAATAGGTAGACAGACCCAATATTAATAAGTACAATAAGACACCTTTGCACGACAAGACACTGTTTCCTATCTTCCAGATCCAGCTTTCTCATTTCAGAGAGATTGCTGTGTCTGAATTAACATTTGAATAGCATTTTCTACACATAAAATCAGTCTACATATACTCAAATCACAAATTTCCAGAATGCACACGAAGTAAGAATCACTGTTTTTGTCTAAATATGATATAAGCTTTATCAAACAGTATGCCTATGTACAGATATCTAAACAGAACTGGACTGTCCATGCAGTGTGAAAGACTTGTTTCCCAATTATTTAAAGGGATAACTACAGATGACTGGCTAAATGTGAGCAAGCACATTGGTTTAGCACTGCTCAATGACAATAATTCTATCATTATAGGAACATACCTGTCAATGTTGAACTGCTTATGTTACTAGCAGTTGAAGAGGGTGTTTTTGGCCCATCGCTATCACCCAGCTGGATTTCTTGTTCTACAGGTTGCTCTGGAATTGGAAGAGGAAGGCTCTCCCGTGGCTGTGTGATTGGCAGTAATGTCCCATCCAATGATTTCCTTTTCCCTTCTTCCTCTGCTGAAATAGCAAAGCGAGGCATATCGAGAAGCCCAGAACAACGACGACGGACAGTGAGCGGTGGACTGGAGTCACTTTCTGTATGAGAGGATTCAGACACTGAGATATGTTTGCGCAATCTGCGGAGAAAGAACAAAACAAATTGCCATCATTCATTTTGCCACGAAGTTGGATTAATAAAATGCTTCACATTCTATAACAGTTCTTCATATACAAGTACAGCAAAGTGGAAGTCAAAAGTGACAACCTGTTTAAAGTAAAAGAAGAAATCAAAAGAAAAACATATCAGGCTAAAAGCTAGAGACTTGTAAATAGGGCAAGAAAATTGTGTGCATTTATAGGCAGTCCCCAAGTTACGAACAAGACAGGTTCTGTAGGTCTGTTCTTTAGCTGAATTTGTATGTAAGTTGGAACAGGCACATAAGTGGAACTCCAGCCAAATATATGCACATATTAGCTTTGGATAGCATAAGGAAGGGTTAACAACCCTGTGGTGTTTGTTCTGCGGTCTGTGCCCCTGTTCAGAAGATTTCACTTCACTTTCTGCCCCGGTGATAATCAGATTTTGAAAAAAATGGCTTGTTGTGGAAATAAGGATTAGTGATAAAGCTTTAGTGAAGACACCTTTTCCTCATGTTAAGTCCTTCCAGGAGAGAATTTCCCTACCTAGGAGCAGATTTTTATCACTTAAATAAAGGGATTTTTCATTTCATTTCATTTCAGAAACAAAACTTCCAGGAAGGGAAACCTTGGGTACTAATAGTAACACTAGCAAAAACAATAACAGCAGCAGTATGTATCTATCATGCACTTCATTTTCTCATAAATCCTTGTAAAGTAGGGCAGAACTATCCTGAATTACAGACTGTAGACAAGCATTCTCCAGTTAATATTTATATCCAATTTATCTTCTAGCACTTCAGACTTGCACTTCGGGAAATACCTAAGCTTTCCAAAAACTCTATAATGAAAGCTTGGTACTTTTTACTGAAGTTATTTTCTGAGCATTGGGGGAGGGGATACATGCTCATGTATATCCTACAGGCTCATGTATAAGCCTAAAACTTTTAGTAAAAAATAAACCCAAAAAACTGGTCAACTTATCCATGGGTCAACATAAGTTCTGCACCTTAGCTCTTATCCAAAATGGAACCATTCTCTTCTCTAAGTATTATGGCAAAAGACTTGAGCTTAGTCTGACTTGGGAGAACCTCCCACTCTACTCTTGCCACTGCTGGTCTTTTTGAATGCCTGAGTGGAAAAACGACTGCTCCCCTGAAATGGCATTGGGACTTTCCCCTTCTCTGGGTAATGACCATCCAATTATCTAGGGATCATATCAAAATCCCTAATTTTAGCCAGGGGTGGGGGTGGGAAAGGTTTTTTACGGGTTCAACCCCCCCCCCCCCATTTTTCCTCCCCCCCCCAGCTTATTAATTTGCCCCATTGATCGCTTGCCTGCAGCTCGCTCTCCCCCCCCCCCACCACCACCACCAAACTTTTTTGCCAACCCAGGCTCGTTTCAACTCCACTCCCCCAATTTTTCAAACACCCCCCCCCCTTCCTGGAATTTTTTTCTGGCAACAGGCCCATTTTGGCCCCAAAATCTGCCTTCAAGTTATACACGAGGTTGATGGATATATAAATATATACAGTAGTTCTTTTTTGTCCTTTACAAAACATTTCTTATCCAAACAAGATACACAGAGTTAAGGAATCCTAGAATTTTCTTTACAAAGCAAATTAAGCTCACATTTCAGGAGACCCAATCACCCAGCTGCGGTCACGACTCTTAAGGCTACCAAGACTGTCAATTCTGTCATCCTTTTCTTCACTCAGGCTACGTTTAGTGGGTGGTGGTGTCCTTCTTTCTTCATGGATTGAAAGGCGTTCCATACTGCTATATACCTACATGGATAATTCAACTACATGTCAACATGTCAGAGGTCATTAAGAAACTCTTTTAAATCATAAGATATTACAGAATCTCAATTGGATTCTGAAAGATAGGGAAAAGGATTAACAAAAATGCAGTGGAACCAACAATTTGGTTACGGCAGAGAACGGAGCCATAGCAGTACAAATTAGAATATTCTATTTACTATGCAAAAGCTAGCCAGATTTAAAAAAAACATGCATTCTGTTATTTTGATATTGTAATAGAAGACATTTTAAAATACACACTGCAACAGAGGTTGTGGAAAACCATGTTTTAAAAATGTTATGTGAAGGATGGACCAGGTTAGTAACGTTTTCAAGTTCAGAGTCAATCTATTTCTAAAAATCTTAAAAAACAATGTTAACCCAGAGAAAAAATAGGTGATTGGGGGGGGGGGATCCTACCCCCTAGTGACTAATTTGCTTGGCCAATCATCCCTCAACTGCTTTACAATGACATTTTAAATCATTCAACAGTTAACAGGAGGAGGAAAAAAGAAATCCATGTTTATGACTGAACTCAGCTGAGAAACTGATTTGCATATGAGGCTGATGAAAACAACATTATTAAAAATTCACAACATCAACAGGATAGCTATTAATAAATTATCTGGCTGAATTGTCAGACAAGACTTTCAAAATATAATGAGCCTTTCATGCCAACCACACTACAAATGGTGTATTTTTTTTCATATTGAAGATAAGGCCAAGCCTGTAACAGTTTCTTTTTTCACAGTTTACCTCTCCCTCCCAACATTGTGAAATGCTAGTTCAATTTGTACCCCTTTCTTTGCCCCATCACTGAGTGTCCTGGATGAACACCTCTCTCTGCTTTGCATAGAAATTAATCCCCAATTAAAAGTATTAATATTGTTACAATGTCTCTTTTGTTTGCAAAATATTGGTTCAGTGACCCAAATTCTGATTTTTGTTCCTAGCATCTTTTATTATCGACCTTTTCATCATTTAAATCATTTAAATCCTGTTTCTTTTTCCAGGATGCAAATTTATTTGTATTCTAGCTTTGCCAAAAAGAGGAACTTCACACAAAAGATATACAAGATAATATTATATTCACCTCTTTAAACTTTCAGTATATAAGTGATCAAACTAGGAAAAAGTAATAATTACCTACATTCAGTGAGAAAATAAGCACTTAAGAATTTGCAAAAAAATCTTTAGTTGCCCGCAAATGATCAGAAATGATGTATTTTTAACGTATGATTGAAAGTTAACAGGTACAGACAGAAAGAAGGTTATACTACTTTCTCATAAAATACTCAAAATACCTATTGTTTTGCAGAACAAACAAGAATACAGAGAGTGTATAGCCTTTTCACACAGTTAGAATGCTTTCAATATACTAATATTGCTCACAACCTTTTGGGGAGGCATAGCAAACACAATTTTCAGATATCAAATGGATAGATCACTATTTGATAGAGTTCTCAAAGGTGGTTGACAAAAGTAAATCACTCATGTGGTAGTAAGGAAGGACCTGAGACAGCCCAACAATACCAATAATGTGTTTGAATCTCTTCCGAAAATGCTGACATGAACCTTCTAGTTGCTATCACATATTTTTCCTTTCTTTCTCCTCAATTGAAATAATTCCAAGAAGACCATTTCAGAATCAAAATATGTATGTAATCTTATATGCACAATCTTAAGTATTTAAAACAAGTATTTACTTCTGATTTCAGACCAATCTTGACAGCTACAGCATAAAATTATAATTAACATGACATATGTTAATTATCAATGGACCACTGTCGTACATGTAAATAATTGTCTTTTAAAAAACTAGCTTCCATGCTTGTTAAAGACTTTCATACCATATTGAGCACAAATGGGTTCAAGTCCCACTTATGAAACTCTGCACATACCTTGCTAAACCTTGGTGAACATGAAGAAAACTGCCTAATTTCCACACGATCATCATCGTTTGTGTCTTCTTCTTCCTCAGAATCTAAATGTTGATACCTCTCTGTACGAGCTGCAAACAAGAACACAGATTTGAGCCCAGATTGCCACAGAGGTATCCTAAATTGTTAGTATTATTATTGCTGTCCGGATTTTTTTTTTAAAAACCCATCAATTAAAAACAAGGAAAACAAACTGGGCACAATTCCTACACAGTAATCAATGGTCTTCTTCACTATCAAGTTCTTTGCCTAAGGCAGTGGTTCTCAACCTGGGGTCCCCAGATGTTTTTGGCCTTCAATTCCAAGAAACCCTAACAGCTGGTAAACCTCCTGGGATTTCTGTGAGTTATAGGCCAAAAACATCTGGAGACCCCAGGTTGAGAACCACTGGCCTAAGGACTACTGAAAGCAACGTCTGATCTGCTTAAATATTATGGTTTCAGCAGTTTGTAAAATATCATATGCATACCTTAATGGCTAATATGAAAATATATTTTTAAAATGCTCTCTACGTTTAACTATTAGATCTCTGTCTTACTGTCAAAGTAGCTTGTGTCATCTTCTGATTCCAACTGCGGAATAAATTCAGCTTTTTGCCGAAGTAATCCATTCCAGTCTAAGTCCTTGAAGAACCTATGCTGTTTCACTTCAAAAGCACTACCTGAAATGACAATATTGTTAAATATTCTTACTATTGCAACTACAACTTAATACAGTGCTTCTTAAGATATCTGAAAGGTGTGGCAGTTTTTTTCTTCTCATATGGAAGTACTGGTGTCGAATTTATGTCCATTGGCTAAAACTGGTTCTTTCCTGGAAACCTGCCACAGACCAGCAGCAGACATGAGTAGTTTGAGTAGTATTAGCATAACGAACAGAACTACAATCCAAGTTCGTTATGCTAATACTACTCAAACTAGGTTTGAAACCACAGCTTAGCAGGGGCAAAACCATAGCTACTCTGATAATTAACATAGGAATAATGCAGATAAAGTGTTGCTACTACTGATAGTAGAAGTGGGGAAGACCATGATTCCAAATAAGGAGAGGGCAACACACAAGCTGCATTTAGCACACACACACCCCAAGCATAGTGATCACTTGACACCATTACATTTGGTGGTACAACAGCCCAAAAACTGGTTTCTAGTGTAAAATCAAGGTGCATATGTAGGATGCTCATTTTAAAGAACTGGGAGTAGAAATCTAAAGGGGGGGGGGGGAACAAGCTCACTGCAAACTATGATTTAGAATAGGAGTTCACTTAAAAGTGTCTTATGTTGTTCACACTGCTGAATTTCAACAGTGTCACAGACCCTGAGATTTTCTGGATGGAATGGGAAAATGGCACTTAATCTATAGAAGATGGTCCAAAACTGCACTATCTGAAATACTTAAAATTACCATAAGGTTAAAAAAAACTGGGGTGTTTTGCCTGGGATTGGCAGTAATCAGAACGGAAGAAGTGTTTGAGATGGAGACTCATTGTTGTCTTTTGCTCTTGTTAGATGGTCACTGTATATGAGAGGAGAGAAATCTCCAAGATATGTCATGTTTAATCTCAAATATCTGAGCAAACAAATGTTTCATGGTTCATAAGGTCTTAATTGGACTGTCAACCGAAACAAAAAGAGGCAGGGAAAAAAACCATGAATGTCAAAGCTTTGGTGTCATATACACTGTCATATACTATGCACTATACTAATCAATGCTGAGGTTTTAAACATTAGCCAACACAGACTGAAGCTGCTGGAAGATGCAATGTTGTGATCATTGTAACAAGTTAGTAAGTAGCAAAAATTGCATCCTGAATTCTTGTTATCCTTATTAAATGAGATATCTCTGCTGCAGAACAGTGCAAACCTCTGAAGACCATTATACCATACACGGAGGAGTTATTATATAACTTAGAAAGATAATCATTTGATGATAATAATCATAATAATAACTTTATTTTTGTACCCTGCCTCCATTTCCCCGAAGGGACTCAGGGTGGTTTACATGGGGACAAGCCCAAGATTCAACATAGTTAAAATATAACAACAAAATTCATTAAAAAACATTTCAGGCAATATACCACAACCACAGAATACAATACATAGTAAACATCTAGCAACCTTCAATGGTCTGAATAGTGCACAGTACTGAGTTCAGGCGGGCAACTGGTGCAAATCACTTGCCAAAGGATAGGGTTGATGGATAAAGTGTTAAAGGAAAATGACAGGGTTAGGACCTAGGGAGTAGTATAAGGAGAGCACTATGTCTCTAAAGGGGGCAATGGTAGTATGGAAGATCTGATTATGGATCAAATTGGGAGCCGAAATGTTTGGGGAACTATCTAGTCAAAGGCACAGTGGGACATCCACACCGTTAGTTCTTTCTGGAAGGTGGACAAGGTGGGTGCCAGTCTAATCTCCCTGGGGAGAAAGTTCCAGAGCCGGGGGGCACCACCGAGAAGGCCCTCTCTCTTGTCCCCACCAATCATGTTTGTGACGGGGGTGGGAGTGAGAGAAGGGCCTCCCCAGAAGATCTTAGAGATTAGCAAAGATTTCCTCCTATTTAAACTACCTCTCCTAGAGTTTCAATGTTTCAGGGAACCCTTTTCATAAAAAATACTTTATACCTGTTCCCAATCTTTCCAAGGGGTTTTGTCGGAGAAGTTTGCCAATGAGGTCCTGTGCATCTGGTGGTAAAGCCTCATCTCCTTCTGGCCAGGCAATTTCGTCTACAGAAATGGCACAAGATTAGATTAGGAATAAAATACTACTCCAAGATCTTGATGCAAAGTGTGAGTATAAACTTGCTCTTAAAATAGGCCTTTCCTGCTGCTACTCTAATAATCTATCAAAAACATTTCTCAAATTGGGAAACCTCTGGTTCATAGATATACTGTAGTACAATATCTGCAGAGGAAGAAAAACCTATAAATGGGGGTGGGGGTCACTTATAGCTAATGAGTCCCTTACGGGAGACAGGGCGGAATACAAATAAAGTCTTATTATTATTATTTGATACACAACAAGATTAGTACACAGCAAACATGATCACTATGCTGGCTTTTGTATTTGATCACACATCAGACACTTCTCAAGTCTCTAGGACTGTGTGATGTATCAGCAAATAATGCATGCAGAATCAGACAGGGTGGCCTTTTGCAGCTGACAGATGGTAATTTTGTCAGTGCCGATTGTTTTTAAGTGCAGGCCAAGGTCTTTAGGCACTGCACCCAGTGTGCTGATCACCACTGGGACCACCTTTATTGGCTTATGCCAGAGTCTTTGCCATTATTATCATCATCATCATCATCATCATCATCATCATCATCATCATCTTAAATGTTTCCACTTCTTATATGGCTCAGTTGGATCCAGTACATAGTATTAAGATATTAAACAAAAAATACTCTCTCTTTATCAAAACAAAACATCAGGTAATCTATTACCTAATCTTTTATACTGTTTTATCTTCATCAATGTAGTAATATGAACATTAGATTACAGTTCTGGCAATCATTTTCAAATCCTACCACTATCAGGGTCCACCTTTCCATTATGTTTCAATTTCTACATGCAGAGGACAGTATTCAGAGTTCTACTGAGAACACTGTTATACTTCACTAAGAGTAAGGTTGTGACAAAGGCAGCCATTTATGCTCCCACAAAATCAGCAGTGAGTCAAATGGAGGAACTAGTGAGGATCAAATGGGAACTGAGAAATTGCTGGAGAGGATAAAAGAGCACAGGGTAAAGAGGGAAAGAGCTGTTGATTTCAAACCCTGTCTGCATTCCTAAGAACTATCTGACTACCCACTTAGAAAGTAAGTGTTGTAGTGCCAGATTTTTTGGTATGCTCCACCAGAATTCTTACACTGCGTTTGCATTAGTTTTCCAAGTGGATCAGCCATATGAGTGTAGCTTGCAAGGCCTCGTCAAATCTGATATGTGCCTGGGCTGTAACTAACTCAGCTGCCCTGATGTCATAGACGAGCTTGCAAATTTCAAGTCACAGTTGATATTTTAGGGATGAAAGCAAAGCCTTTGAATCTGTTTTCCAATACCCAATTTGTCCTTTCTTGTTGCTCTGTCAACAGTTTCATTCATATTTACTATTTTCATTATATTTTACAGGCAACTCTCTTGAATGATGATTAAGTGATATTGGAACCATTTAACAGTTACAGACAGACAACACCTGCGGATTCTCAATCTATCATACATACCACTGATTACTTGCCCAAATAACTCTTCTGGTGTGTCACCAAAAAAGGGAACACATCCAACCAGAAACTCATACAAGATTACTCCCATGGCCCACCAGTCCACAGGCTTTCCATAACCCTGACGCAAGATCACTTCTGGGGCAATGTATTCTGGAGTCCCACAAACCTGGAAAGGGAGAAAAAAATAATTTAGAAGCTTAGATATTTCATTATAACTCACAACATGCAGATGACAAAGAACCTTTTTTACAATGTCTTTTACACCCTCTTTTCCTTCTTATCCTTTGTCTAGATGAAAGTTTCAAAGCAGCATTCATCTTAGGAGGATGGTGAAAGGAAACTTTGAACCTTCAGTGCAGAACTCAACAATGTGCAGGGGCGGCTCAAGCATTACTCAAGGTAAGCATTTGCTTACCACTCCAATCCCTGGGGGGCGCTGTTGAGACAGCCTTCCTGCTCCTCTGAGGAAGATTGAGAGAGTGAGTCCTATATCCCAGAATATCAAGGCAGAAAATCCTACAATATTTGCTTTGAACTGGGTCCACACTCAGATAATGTGGGATTTTCTGCCTTGATATTCTGAGATATAGGGCTGTGTGAAAGGGCCCTGGGTTCACACTGCCATATATCCCAGTTCAAAGCAGAAAATGTGGGATTTTATTCAGCTGTGTCACCTTCTACCTTTTATTTTTCAGTGATTGGTTTGGGGGCGGGAGCAAAATACTGTTTGCTTGCACGTGAAAATTACCTAGGGCCGGCCCTGGCAATGTGCCTGCAGTTAACAATGCAATAAAGCCTGACCTGGGAAAGAATGGAATTCTACTCTGGTGTACCATAATACGGCTATACAACAAACAGGGTAAACTGCATCTGCTTTAAGAATTCCTTACTGAGCAGGCATGGACAGCAAAATAAATAGAAAATGGGAAAGTATATTAGCCTCCAGCTTTTTCAAAAGCATAATCTACAAATGTGGGCACCATAGTGGAACTCTTAAGAAATGCGAAGCCAAGTGAAAGAAAAAGTTGTTGTTGGGTGCATTTTGGAAGAAACTTTTAATTAAACCTCCAAAAAATTCAAACTATTTTTAATTACTTTGCAAAACCTCTCTGGTCTGGCTGTTTCATTTCTCATGGGTACATTATTCTTTCTGGATAAAATGTTTGTTGAAACATGTTGAACTACTCTTCTTTTTTGTGGTATACTTTATGATTATCTTATCTCTACCTATAATACTAAAATTTCCCTTCAAGAAGCAGGAATGACCAGTAATGCATCTACTTCATTAATTGAGGAATAGCAGAATGTCATTATTCACAGAGTTTTCAAAAATATAAGTTCAACTTACTTGCTTATCCAAGAATTCTCTGGCATCTTTCTCAATGTGACCTTCATACAGGTTTGTTGTCAGACTCATTAAGCCAATTTTAGAGAGGCCAAAATCAGTCAGTTTGATATGACCCATTGAAGTTATGAGAAGACTGAAAAAGGGGAATCACAGATGAGTATTGGAAAGGTATTTTAAAAGTCAAATTACAAGCAAATTTATTGACTCAACACTTGATAATGCTCTATTACTTGAGGAGCTTACTGACAAAAGTTCTTCCTGGAGACAGATACGTCTTGGTGAAAAACCAGACTTAGCCTTAGTAAATGTTTAAAGGAAGCAAGATTTTAAATGTACATGGATATATAATCTCTTCATCTTTGAGTTTTATTTATCCCAGAGCATACTTCTGAAGAACGAATGTTACAACTCTAACACGATGTATTTCATCCAATAAAGGCATAATTGAGTTTGCCAGTGAGGGACTCCGAAAGTGTGAATGTGTACTGGTGACAACTAACAGAGATCTAAGCACTTTAAACTAATTTATTCAGGTGCATGAAATGACAAGATGGAAAGATAGTAGATGTTTATTGTTTTTAAAGTATCAAAAATACTTCATAGCATCATATTCAAAGTCCTTGATACAATATCCTTATTTTAAAAAGAATGAGCAATCAGTGCAGTGTGGTTCTTTTGGATTTAGCTTATGATTCTCCCTTTCAGCTTTGCCAGCAATTTACTTTTAATGTGATAGATTTGGAAAGAAAATGATAACTGGATTGAAGGGATTTATTTCTTAAGTCAAGTGCCACCAAGACCAGTTTTTGGTTGCAAGCTTGTAAATCTCTCATCCAGAGTTGGACCACTACTTCGTATTATTTCCCTCTGGGAGTACAGCCTCAAAAAAAGTAAAGCTTTTCTGAATATGAGACTTGAGGGAGGGAATATTTAATGGGAAGCCCACACAGGAGTTATAATGTCAGCATGAACAATGTCAGCATGAACATGTTTCCAAGCTGATCTACAAAATTTCAATGTCTGTGTTGAGCAAGATCCAAACACAAACACTGGTTCAAATACAGAGTTAGTAATGCTTACAGCTGGCCCACTAAAATCAATTAAATAAGTGAGTGAAGCTCCAGTGAGTTCAGCAGAGCTCCTCTTTTATTTGATTTTATCTGAATACAACATACTATGAAATGGAAATCAGTGTAGTCTGTTTTAAAATTATATCATATATTTAGACTCAGTGTTTTAATGGCTTTTAAAGTTTGTCCATTTCTTGCTAAATGGAAAATGGAAATGTTTGATACCATTCAAACGTACTCCCATTTAAAATTTAAAGCTTTGTTTATGAGATTTTGAAATATATATATTTTTAGGTAATCACAATATGACATCTGCTATAAAGCAGCTCAGTAACAAGAACAAATACAAAAAATAAAATGGTCAGCCTTGCGGAACACAGAAAATGGCACACATTATTCCTACATCTATTTATAGCATGGACAGCTGCAAGTACAGGTCCAAACATGAGAAGCTAAAAGCATACTTGTCAGGCTTTAGGTCACGGTGGACGATGCCATAATTGTGGAGATACTCCAGTGCCAGAACAGTTTCTGCAAAATACATCCTTGCCATATCAACAGGCAAAGCTCCAATATTCTTCAAAAGGGTTGCACAATCTCCTCCTGGTTTACAATGAAGACACAGCATATGAGAGTGGGGAACATTTGTGCTAGTATCAGGCAGAAGCTAAAGCCGAGAAAGTTCAACTTGTTATCCTGTAGTCATATACTTGTCTATTGAGATACTCAGATGTTATGAGGAACGGGACAACAGCCTTAGACTGCTATTTCATAACATCTCCTTTCACAGTGGGGCAATGTTTTGGTCCAGTACACTGTGGCATAATATGTAGTTTTGAGTCTATTCCTTTGACCTTTTTTTCTCCTCAGCAAACATATATATTATAGAGGGATAGTTTCAAATGTACTAAAAGACAGAAAAAGAGGCATTTGCATTTAAAACTGGCAATGCATTCCTGAAACAGACTGCATAATCCTTACTCAATTTAATTTGGCATTCTATAATATAATCACAAGGGGATGTTCAGCCTTTAAGGTTTTCAAAAATAATAGTTCTTAGCACAGAGACACACAGTGGTGAAAACATAAGGTTTCCACAGGCAATGAAGGCAACTCAACAGACAACAGGAAGCTATGAATTATGGAGCTTCAAACATTATAGTCACAAGTATGTTGCTGTTGTTGTTAAACATATGTACTTGTTAGGGTAGGCATTTGTTTGGGATAAATGTGATAAATGCAGCACTTCAAATTTTTATCAAGCCTCCAAGTACAGTGAGCTCCAGTTCTGGGATAGCAAATGGTAAGCTTGAGATGGCATTCCTGTCCTCTCTTGAAATATAAGGGCAATCCATAAAAGAAAAAGAAAAAAGTTTTATTATGTAGAATGATGTAGTGGGTACATTGAGGAAAGGGAACACAACCCTTTCTAAAATATGCCAGTTAAGCCCACTAAAAATTTTCTAAATTTAAATCTTGATCTATTCTGAAAATTTAAATATAGACACTGGAATGCTTGTACTAGCAATCCACTTTAAAGGAGCATAGGAACCCGTTATTTGCACAACTTAAAGCTTCTGCAGAGTCATGAAAGTCAGATCTGTGTCAGGCACACTGAAATAATGGACTAATGCTAACTTTCAAGCAACCAGAAACTACACCTATCTGGCATCTACTAATCCCCATGGATGCTGGTTAACTGAGAGCCTACTATAGCCACAGAACTATAAAGCTAGAGAGTACCCAAGTTTTATTTATTTAACCATACTCCCTTTCAATGCAGGAAACCACAGCTAAAACATGCATAACAGAGGCTATTTAAACTGTTTAAAAGCTTCCTGTGACAAACAAAACCCACTATGTTCCCAAGGGTTCCATTCTACTGTGAAACATTACATATCTTTCAGAGTTTCTTCCTAACGTTTAGTCAGAATGTTTTTCCTTGTAATTTGAATATATTGATTTGGGCCAACCCTCTGGAGCAACAGGAAACAAGTTGGTTCCATTTTCCATGTGACAGACATTATACATAGCTACTATGTTGCCTCCAAATTATGTCGTGTCCCGCCTTGAGTCAAAAGGAGGCAGATAAGAAATACATTTTTATCACCATCACCATCATCTCTAGGCTAAACAGACTCAGCTTCCTCAGCTGTACTTCATAGGGCTTGGTTCCATTTCATGTTGAGCAGGACCTTCCTAAGGAAAGGTCCACCCACAGTGTTAAGTTGAAAACACTGAGGTATTATGAGGATTCATCACTGTGTCCTTGTCAACAGTTATCAAGAGGAATTTAGAGGTTTACAGAAATTAGTTGGCACACCTCAGTCCTAAAGGATAAAAAGGCAGAATATGCAATGTTCTGTACTTCTCCCATAAAGCAAACAATTACCACAAAAATGTAAGACCAGTATTACAATCAGGAGAGCTTGGTGGTAGGAAAACAATACCTTCAACATACTCCATGACCATGCACAAGTGCCGCTTGGTTTCAAAGGAGCATAACATACTGACAACAAATGGATTTTCTGCAAATGTTAAGATATCTCTTTCCACAAAAGCTTGCTGAATTTGGTTCCTCAAAATAAGGTTCTGCTTATTGATCTTTTTCATTGCAAAGCGTTCACGTGTAGTTCTGTGGCGCACTAAGAACACTGCACTAAAATGAAACAAGAAAATTGCATTATGTTAGATATGCCATGCACATGCTCCACAGGTTCTGAATTCTAGGAATTGTTCCAAAATTTCAATTGTTTGATCAGTTCACATAGTCACCGAAAGGCAGAAAACAAAGGACAAAGAATTCTTCATCCTTTCACTACTTCTATTTCAACGTTAAGCAGAAGCATGAGATTTCATCTAGGATTAATAGTGATTTTAAAAGTGATAAAAGTCCCAAATGACAATACAAATGTCAAAACAGAAGTGAGGTAATAGAAGAACCAGTATTATTATTCTAGTTCTAAGTTATTACTAAGTGTTAATTTAATTTGTAATGTAATTGATTTGTAATTGATGTTGATGGTGGCATCTAATGGCTGCCATTTGTAAGCTGCCCTGAGTCCCCCCTCAGGGGTTGAGAAGGACGGGATAGAAAAGTTTGAAATAAATAAATAAATAAGTCTAATACAATTAATTTTTGTTCCAGCAAAACTTTTCAGACATACAGCTTTTCTGCCTCATCTCTATATACTATTTGTCTTCAATAACATATAACATTCATAATAAAATATTGTTATTATATTATTGTATATCGTTTGCTGCCTATGCATTACTATCATTCACTCATATTCATTTCTCCCAACAATAGAATTCAACATAACAACATTTTTGAATTTATCTGATCACTGAAAGAGGCTATAGGGCTATATGCCATCACCAAATAGCCAGGTCTTCACATAATGGTAAATCAAAGGGTGATTTGTTAAATTCTACTATTGTTGGGTCTGAATCTAGACTTTAAAAAAGCAATGGTCTGTTGGCCTGCCACAAACTATAATCAGGAACCATGGTTTGTTATTGGATGGCTTGTTTGAACCATGGCTACTTGTTGCGTTTGAACCAAGACCCATGGCTTGCCTCAGACTTGTTGCAAATGCTGCTCATCTTGAGATGTAAATCAATAAAAATGATAAGAGAAAAAAGGCATTAAAAAAAAAACCTGTTTTTGTTTTCCTGTGTTAATGTTACAATGCATAGGTAAAGTAACTACAGATTTGTGTGATATGCTTGCAGGAACCCAGATTTACCAAGGATGAGTATGCTGCTGTCTCTCTCCCGTTCCAAGCAACATACTAACTTTAAAATCCACTCTTCATTGTTATTCTAGTTCAGGACTATGCAACTGTGCCAACCCTTTCCCAGATAATGGAAGGCAGTTTTCATAATTTTTCTATAATATATCTGCAGTTCAATAACATCTGGAAAGGCAAAGCAGCCCACCTCTTCCCAAGCCTGCCTGAGGAAACAGCTATATAATGCCAGATTTTTTATGTCAGAACAAAAATGTAATTAAGACCAAGGGTTTGTTTAGCTGATTCTACTGAAACGTCAGTGTTTTTCCCAGCATACGCCAACACCCAGTTTTAACTTTGATAATTGGAAAATATTTTGAGTCACGACTGGTTGGTGACACCTGAATGTGACCATTATTTCACAAGCAGATGGGGGGGAAAACCACAAGAGTTGGTGACCAATTAAGTCTTCGGTCCTATGCCGAAAGATGCTAAGAATGTAAGTATGAATTTAACATGTGAAAATCTTATCTAGTAAAAATGTTCTGGTTCTTCTATATTTTTCTAATCTATTAACCAAAATTGTTTTCATTCTTCTCCCATCTAATTAAGTACCCCAAGGAATGCTGAGCAGGACAGGACACTGAGAACATGCTGATAATGATGTCTATAATGTCTTGGAAAAATAAGCATTCATTTACCATTATGTAAACTTTCTAAAGGATTTTAAGACATACACCACTATAATGAATCTGAGATCATCATTTTAAATCTAACCCCCACATTCCATATGATTTACAATGATCAAAATCACAAATCTACAGTATTATTTACAGTCAAAACCTTACATATTCTTATTTATGATCAAAATCACAATTTCCCATATCATTATCTTTTGCTGGTTCTTTATTGGGTTGCAGATTATCCTTCAAAATTGCATAGATATATATTTGATATTTTACCCATATGCCCCATTGCTAATTAGTTTAATAGTTTCAAATTCTTCTTCTGATGGAGTTTTCTTGGCTTGCACAGTGGCTCCACGGCTCTGAAAACACAAAAGAGATTTTCACTTTCATTCTACCATTGGTCTTCTAAAAACATTTAGTTATTTTTCATATGACAGAAGATGTATGATTTCAATATACTTCTAAAATATCTATTTTTGAATTGTATTGAAGTGGGTTTCTTTCAGTCCATTTAAACTATTTTTGCTTTCTTTAGATGAAAGAAACTGGAACAATTCTGGATGCAACAATTGTGTATAAACACCTTGGGATGGTGGGGAGAGAAAGGAAGAGGTGCATTTCAACATTTCAGACCACAAGGAGAGTAACAATGTCTTTCAAGTTTAGTTCAAGTGGCTACTCTAATAAAAGTTTAAAATACACAAAAAAATTAATACACTAAGCATTTTCCAAATATGTTCTAACATTAAAATCTATTTATATAAGTTTAAAATGTTATAGGTAAAATAAGTATTTTTCACTATTAGAAGATACTAATTTACAATGTATTAATACCTTATTAAAAAGGGTGCCTTTACTACCATTACTAGTTAGAAATGGCTTGTAAACGTGCAAAAACTATATTGTGGAACTCATATTTTAATTCATTTACCTTTCCCTCAGCAGAATCATCTGTCTCTGGGGTATCTGGACTGTCATAGCTATTCAACTGGGCCATTTCTAGGGAGGGGGAGACAGAAAAACACACTTGAAGGTTGTGATTTTGTACAACCTAATTCCTTCACTCATTTGTAAACTCCAGCCCCCAATTACTCAACTTTCCATATTCAAAACGTCTGAAGGAATCAGTATATGAAGCTGAAGTACGAAGAAGATAGTAGATTGTGTGACCTTTCCTAGTAGCAATATTTCCCCAAAAACAGACTTTCATCAGTGCATTTTTAACAAATGATCCTGAAATATACATTAAATTCATTGACATCAAGAAAATCAGTTTATAGCCTGTTTAGGAAATATATATCTTTTTTTAAAAAAAAGATTTTAAAATATTTGGCAAATAAACTGAGCTTTTATAAAAGACTCCTTCATTCTGTAGTGGGAACAGCAGCTGGCTTTAGATTTGTACATTTGAAGGAAATATGTGATGCAGCTCCATATAATATGCTTTATGTTATAAATAGCCTTCACTAGTTCTTTGTTATGTATATAATTGCTTGCTGTATTGTATGTGTGTATTGGTTTTTCATTTGACTGTACCTCTTTGATGTGGGAGGGACTGCAGACCATGTGACCAGATCAAACTCAAGACTCCATTTTAGATCAGTGTGTTTGCTTTAGACTTCACTGGAGATAGAAACCATCTGTATGCTTTAAGAAGTCAGTGTGTGTTTGCATCAGATGCAGTGAGTACTGTTACATTAAGATGTATGCTTAAAGACTCCATTGGACTATGGACTGTTGATTCTAAGAAAGATGCCCATGTTACCAACACAGAGAAACTACTTCAAATCCTATCTATAACTGGATCAATAAGACATGTACCTGTATGCTGAATGAATTCATGAAGTTTTGTAAACCAACTCTGTTACTTTTAAAGAAGACTGTCTTTTGAGAGCATGATTTAAAGCCAAATATATTTTAAGGGAGAGTAGATGTTTTTGGGCAACTTCAAGGAACACTTCCAAAACTCTGATGAATACATATGTTTTTGTGCGTTGGCATGTCTTTGTCCCTGACAGTTTAAAACATACCTAGGTACATCAGTTTGACAGCTGAAAAACCCAATTGTCTTGCATGAATGCTAATGAACATCACTTTTCAAAAGGGTTGTGACTTCTAACAAGGTTATGCCTTTTCTTGACCAATGGTTTTCCAAAAAGGTTATGAATCCCATTTCCCAAATGGTCATGGAGATTCACATTTTCCAAAACTTTATAGTACTATAAACATAGTCTGTTACATATCTAATTATTTTGCTACAATCTCTGTAGGGTGAGCAATGGTTTTAACCTATTTGTTCAGTGTTCCATCACTCTAAAGAGAAATTTATGTTACCAAATGCATTCTGGAACAAGGTACTGGAGCATGTGGAAGCTTCCCAATTACAGGAGTTTCTGGATGAAATGGATTATCTAGACCCATTTAAGTTTCTTTTCAGACTTGGCACTTACCTTCCACATGTTGATCTGGCCTTAGTGGCAATCACCACCATGAAACTGGCAGTGATTGCTACATGGCTCCTGTAGTGAGGGGGGGGGAGTCATTCCTCCTTTCCACCCCTCTTCTCTGACAGCTTTGTAACTCCAGCTATTGTCACTACAGGGACCGGCGGCAAGTTTCATGGCCAGTAGTCGCCACTAATGCCAGACTGAAAAGTGGAAGGTAAGTGCCATCCCCTGGCCTGGGGTTGCCCAAGTCCAGGAAAAGTGGGATGGTGATATGAACAACTACAGCCACTTCTAAAAAGGAAGTGGCCCAACTCTTTACACTGGTGCAAAGTGTTGATGAGCCCTGGAACATCAGGAAAGCTCAATATCATCCCACAACTTTTAAAGATTTGGGACAAGGCTGTGTCATCATGTGGACACCAAACCATGTAGGTGAGCTCACAGATTAAACAGTCTATCAGATTAGATACTGTTTGGATGCACATTTGAGAATGTCAAATATTGTTGATGAAACTCTATAATGGCAATATAAGGCCACTATCTACATGGCATTAGTAAGTGGGGTCAAAAGGTGACCCTTAAAAATAGAAAGACTCATTTCACTTGCAAAGATAATGAAAACTGTGATGATTCACATACTGAGCTGCTCTATCTTCCCCAGTTCTCAGATACTTTCAGGGAAGGGAGGGATAAGCAGCTGTGTGTGTGTGTGTGGGGGGGGGGGGGGGGGGGGGGGGGGGGAAATGCATTACATTAATCTCCTCATTTCCACCACAGGATGATTAAGATTGTAAAGTTCTATTCTATGCTATTCTGGATCTAATCCAGAATGCAAGAAACACAAACTTTTACACTCAAACTTCATAATGCAGACCAGTCCTCAATAATAAAATCAACAACAAAGATGTCTTAAATTCTTCGAGCAACTTGTGCATTATATATATAGCTTTAAAAAATAGAAAGAGAAAGCCCACACCCTCCAGGGGATCCCTGGTGAGGCCCAGTTGGCAGATGATATAACGAGGAATGTCACATTTAATGCCTCCCCCTTCCTTGGCATGGCCTTCTGCAGCTTCTAGCAGATGGTAGAACTCTTCGGGATCAAACTCCTGAAGTTCAAGGATATAAAAAGACAGCAGTTAATACGATTTCCAAAACAAAAGCATTTCACTTCATTTTAAGAATGATTAGAAAAAGGCAATGAAGTGTACAATTTAGTTTGAAAATATGGGTTTATCTAATATTCAAATTCAAAACCAAATATTATAATTCACAGTACAACTTAGCAGTGGCACACTAACATTATGTATTTTTCTGCACTAGAAAAATAGAAATCACAAAATTAACAATTCCTGGAAATGGCTGTACTCATTGCCTTTTTAGTAAGGCCACACAGGAAAAAGAAAAGAGATTATACAGCAGAACTATGCTTCGTGTATTTTCTAGATGAACAGAATGGACAATAATTAGATTCATGTTCTATGTATTCCAAATCATCAAAATGATATCCATATATTGCCCTGTTACTAAAAAGGAAAAGAGAACATTTTCATATGTCTTTTCTGAGTAACTGGGTTACAGTTACTCAGAAACAGGTATCTTACCCCCATTTGATAGATAGGAAAGAGATGTAAAAGAAGCCACACTTTAGCTCAGACCAATTTTTGGCAAAACTCTGTCCAATAAGAACAGTAACAGATAGCAAATATCAGCACTCAATCTGAAAGCATGACCAAGAGACAAGTGAGGATGGGTATCATAAATTCTTGAAACAGCTTGGTCAGGGTTGATCTTCTACAGTTATATTGCTTCATAGTAGAGTAAGTGTTCTGGCATCCAACTATCTTGCACATAAAGCATGAACGCAAAGAGACGATAATGCTAATCTTTTTCTTAAAAGCACAAGTGATTCATTTTTTTACCCTTCATTGTTAAATCGTCCAATTAATTTTGTCTTGTATGTGTGTGTGTGTGTGTGTGTGTGTGTGTGTATATATCTCAGAAGTCATCCACATCCATTTTCAGGAGTGTCACAACAAACTTTGGAGTTCATTATTCAGATTGTCAGATATCTGCTGTCTACATTTGTTTCCATTTAGTGAATGTCCAGATTTTGATAAACGAATTTTAACTGAAGATTAATTGTGGAACTACTTCCAAGAACAGTAGTATTTAGACTTGTGTGACCATAACCATTAGCTATGTACAGTAACATCTGTAAGGGGACAAGGTCTATTTTTCTGAGAAACACTACAAGCAACATTATAGATATCCAAGACGTACTCCTTAAGTTCCTCACCAAACTGCCTAGTTTTCTCCAATTTCCTTTAGCTGTAAAGTCTTTTCAGAACCAACTTTAGTGCTGTTTATTAGTTGGCTTTTTTTTTTTTTACAATTCCATTAAGTTTAATTTTGGACTCCTGGAACAATTAATTGCTGCTATGACTCCTAAAAAACTGTTTGCTTACCAGACATTCCAGCAATCGTGCAGGCCGTGCAATAATGATCATCAACTTTTTCACTAGCTGGGTTACAAATGCCACCTCTGAGCTCTCTGATCGTTCATGAGCCTGTAGAATGATCATGTTTGAAACAAATTAGTTCTACATAAGTCTATTGCAGAAGCTATTATCATTTGTTTAATTAAAGCTACTTAAAAGCACGAAACACGGCAACCAACTTGCTTATGTTATATTATTCTAATCTATAATATTAGTGTTTTAAATTAAGTTTTGCTTGGCATAGATTTTTCTTTGGCTATTCCTATTTTTCCTTTCCTTCCCAAGAGGGGGGGGGGGGGGGGGGGGGAGAGGGAGAGGGAGAATTCTTTAATTCCTCTATCAGGACATTCAATGAAATGCAAGATACACAAAAACGAAATTGTAGAAACAACTAGCTAAATGGAAAGCTCTACATATAAGGCAGCAAATGGTATCTATACATCACTGGGAACGACTTCAACTCATGTATCTAATGATCGAAAACAAAATATATCTAGGAAATCAATGGGATTTAGCATACCTAAGTATTTAGCATACCCTAAAGGCACTAAAAGACAGAGGTGTGATAAATAATATTAGAAGTAGAGTTCAAAGGCCTGATGAGTGGGCAAACATCAAACTTCCCACATTCCTGGCCATCACGAATTTAATGAACAAATGTACCAGCAGCCAGCAAGAGTAGAACTACTTAGTAACATTCATTTTTTAAAAAATAAATAAATGGCCATATACAGATACAGACCAACACCAATACATTACCTTATTATTTATGGAAACATTGTGTTTTAAAATTAAGGATAATTCTGCCTCTGAATGCACAGGGCAAATGGAGGCAACGGTGTAGTGTAGAAATACTTTGTAATCTGCTACACAAAAGCCCTATGTAGCATTTTGAAAATCAATAAAAATAAAAAATAGAGCAAACAATAACTTTCAGAGTTTGCAATTCAGCACTCACTGAAGGGGAAGTTTATAGTATTTATTAAATAATTTATTTTCTCCCAATTCTTAAAATCATAAAAACTTAACATAAATTGATATGAGTAATACTTTAAATGTTTAAAATGATTTCCATTGACCAATAGTGAAGAGTTTTCCTAAAATCAAATGTGTAGGAAGTTTGTTATGCAATCTAGTGGGGTCCACAGTATAGGTGGCAGGTAAAGTGTTGAAACCTCTTAAAACTTAAATGTTGTATTAGTATTTTAAAAAGATTTTTTTCTGTTTTCAATCAAGAAAAATAAAGGCACAAATATATTTAATCTCTGTTTTGTGTATTTTAATATGTATTTTGCGGAAATACGTTTTAATGTGTATATTTTAAAGAATTTTAGGTGAATGTGTGTTTTAGCAATGTTATAAACTCGCCTTGAGCCATGAGAGGCGGGCAAGAAATAAAAAATATTGTTACTATTATTATTATTATTATTATTATTATTATTATTAAAACATATAATTTAGACTGCATACTAGGGGTATGCAAATTCATTCTGTGTTCTTTTCGAATTTCGGGTGCCCCCAGTTCTGTTTTCGGGGAAGATTCTGGGAGATTAGGAGTGGAGTCGTTCAGATTTGTAATTCAGAACCCTGAGCTCCGTTTCCGTTTTGGAAAAAATCTTCCCAAAAACAGAGCAGATTCTGTGCCGCTTCACACACTCCTAAAATCTAAATTAAATCAAATGTGAAAATAAACAATGCACAGCTTGTAGCAGCCACACAGCCAGAATATGTGCCCTGCACTGCAGCTCCTGAATCTTGAATAAAATCTGTGTTATTTCATTCCTTATATCATTGGGTAGTCTTGCTATCTCTCCAAATGCTTTGTTTTGAATACATTCCACCTGTATGCTTGTGTAATATACCAAATAGCTGCCTATCTTCCACTTTCCTTGGTAAGATGCATGCCATTTAATCAGCAGTCCCAGTGATAACATGCTTGTCTGAAGGCTGTGGGTGTCATTTAAGGGGGAGGGATAGGGGAAGCACAAGGGCTACAGGCTGAAGCTGGTGACATTCACTTATAGAAATAAAACTATTTCCAGTGACATACATACTGGAGGTAGAAATGGGCAATTTCCAAAGTGATTCCCTGCTCTAAAAGACTCATGTGTCACTAACTGTAGCCATTGGAGCATGAAATTAAAATTGCTGTCCTCCCTTGGGGTTCATCAGAACCAACAGCAGTGATATTCAAGTCACAACTGTGTAATTGAGCTAATACACTGATACAGCCCAAGACAGCCAAACTCACAGAGAAGAACCAATACACCTGCACCTAAGAACAGATGTTATAATTAAGATTTATGTTTAAGTAGGCAACATAAAACTAGTGTAGTACATAAATAATAAGCCTGTGCAGTAGTTTGTGCCCTACAGGGACATTTACAGAGAGTTTTTAATTGTCTTTTTAAAAAACCAAAAGAAAAAAATATATATTTATATACTAATTACATACACACGTTTCACTCTTTTGGGATAAATTCAACATGCAGTTTATTTTCATTGTTCTGAATGTCCTCTTCCTGTAACATTTCAGCTTATAAGTATGTTTTATTTTAATGTCAAAAAGTTGATTCACAAATTTTCATAAAAGAGAACTGTGACTGGAGTATGCCCATCTTCTTCAACTATGTCAATCAAGGATATTCCTACAATTCCACTGATTTGCAGTAAAGCTGGATTTAGTGAGAGTTATTTTGATACAAGTGGCATGTCTAATCATAATACAAAGGAAGCTAAGAAGAATATTTACATTAAAAACTGGGTCACTATTTTAAAGAAAAGAAAGCAAGAATAGAAGGGGGAAGGGGGCTTCAGCATCATCTTCCTGCAACAATCTCCTTTGTCTTACAATGTTTGATACATTATGACCTATCTCCTACTATATATTGCTATCTATCCCATCTTTGAACCTCCCTGTGGATGTGGTGAATAGAAGCTAATTTAGATAAACCATTTTTAAAATACCAAATTCCCTCCCATCAAACTGAAACACTATTAAGTTATAGAGAGAAGAGAATTTATTTCTTTGCTGTGTAACATAATAGTATACTAGCATTACCTACATTAATAGTAGATGACAACGTATGATGGGCTTTAAACCAAATTACTTTGCCATATGCTTGAATTTGCCTGATTAGGTGCCAAACACACTTTACATGTTCAGTTGGCAACTGTGGCTCTCCATTCTGACCTACAATTTCTGTAAAATCTAGCCATCAAAACCAATAGTGAATAATAGTAGTTCAAAAATAACTGAAAGATTATAGTTGCCCATATTTGCTTTTGATGGAAATACTTATTGCTTTTTTTTTTGGTTTGGTTTGGATTTGGATTCAATTCTAAAACAAAGAATTTGAGGTTTTTTGACTAGGTGCGTGCAACAGACCTAATATGTTCCTCTTTCTTAGTTGGATTTTCATTGTTTGGGGAGAAAGTTTCAAAACAGTAATTGTACCCATGAATGCAAGTCCTGCAGATGGCATGATGCTGGGAATCGATACAAACTCAACTTCTTCTGTTTCTGCAGGTAGCAGAAAATGAATACAAATTATGTGTGTATATGTGCCTTCATCTTGCCTTTCAATTTAGGATGACCCCATGAATTACAAAGGGGTTTCCCAGATTTCAGAAGGGCAAATGTTATTCTTAAGATTATGTTAGAATATGAATTGCAGCAAATTCTTAACCACAGAATTAAACTCATATTTTTCTGAAATGTGAGGCATTCAAAGATTGGGAAACGGCATACTTTCCTGGTCAAAGCTGAATCACGATTTTCATTATACACAGTGGCTTGAACTACTTGCTCTAAATGGCTGGATTCTTCCTGAAGTGCACTGAAGTCTACATAACATTAGAGTTGCCATGAGTTACAAGTAGATAAATGAGGGTGCTCTTTGAATTCAACCAGTTTTTGTAGTAAAAAAGACAACATTGTATCATCTAGCTCTTTTTAATCAATAAGGATTTTATATTGGAATACTTACATCCTGTAAGAGTTTCTCAAGGTTTTCCTGTAATTCGTAAAAGTACCGAGATGTAATGAGTCCTTCACGTGATTTATCCAGGCAATCTCTGGCCAACTCAATAACTTGATGATGAATGAAACTTAGCACTCCATCTGCTAGCTGCAGGACATTCTCTGGTGCACTAGATGCAATAAACTCTGCCAGCCGTTCCTCCATCTGGGCTGTGGCCTAAGAAATGTCAAAGATTAATCACAGGCATTTTGCTTCTAAAAAGTCTACAGGTTGACTTAATTAAACATCTCAAACCCAACTAGAAGTCTTTGAATATTTTATAATTTTGGCAATACACAGCTATGGCGCGTTATTCTTTAATAACAATATTTTAAAAAATTACAATTAAGCCTCATGAAGCTGAGTGATAACACAGTTCCTAGATGGCAAATATGGGGACTAAAGAAGAAACAATAATTTAAAGTTACCAAGAAAATCTGGTGTAAAACATGTTGAGGTTTGCAAGCAGAACATCTAAAAGAACTAAACCAAACATTTGATAGGAGTCCCCAAGTTACAAACATTTGACTTACAAATGACTCATAGTTAAGAACAAGAGTGAGACAACAGGAAGTAAGAGAAATCTACCCCTCAGAAGGGAAATTCATTTCTAAAAGAGTTATCATGGGGAAAAATGTCTCCACTGAAGTTTTATCACTAATCCTTGTTTTCACAAGAAGCAACTTTTTTTCAAAATCCAACTATCACAAGAACAGAAAGTGAGGTGAAATCTTCTGAACAGGGGCACAGACAGCAAAAGAAACCTCATAGGGGTGTTAACTCTTCCTATGCTATCAAAGCTAAATGGATGGAGTTACAATGAAAACAATGTACCTGTTCTGACTTATATATAAATTCAACTTAAAAATAAACCTACTTAACCTATGAAGACAGCTCCTGTTATCTGCTGCCTTTCAAAGCCATCTTCTGACTCAGCACATAGAAGATGGCTTTGAAAGGCAGCAGATCACAGGAGCTGTCTTCATAGACCTGTCAGCAGCCTATGATACTGTGAACCACCGCCTCCTCCTGAGAAAAATGTATAATATCACAAAGGACTACCACCTCACCCGCCTCATAGGAAACCTGCTACAAAACAGGAGCTTTTTTGTTGAGTTCCAGGGCCAGAGAAGCAGATGGCGGAAACAGAAGAACGGCCTGCCTCAGGGGAGCGTGCTCGCTCCATCCATGTTCAACATCTACACAAATGACCAGCCACTGCCAGAAGGGACAGAGAGTTTCATCTATGCTGATGATCGTGCCATTACTGCTCAAGCAGGGAGCTTTGAGACTGTAGAACAGAAGCTCTCCGAAGCTCTAGGTGCTCTTACTGCCTACTACAGGGAAAACCAGCTGATCCCTAACCCATCTAAAACACAGACATGTGCCTTTCATCTCAAGAACAGAGAAGCATCCCGAGCTCTGAAGATCACCTGGGAAGGAATCCCACTGGAGCATTGCAGCACACCCAAATACCTGGGAGTCACTCTGGACCGTGCTCTTACCTACAAGAAGCACTGCCTGAACATCAAGCAAAAAGTGGGTGCTAGAAACAATATCATACGAAAGCTGACTGGCACAACCTGGGGATCACAACCAGATACAGTGAAGACATCTGCCCTTGCGCTGTGCTACTCTGCTGCTGAGTATGCATGCCCAGTGTGGAACACATCTCACCACACTAAAACAGTGGATGTGGCTCTTATTGAGACATGCCGCATTATCACGGGGTGTCTGCGCCCTACACCACTGGAGAAATTACACTGCTTAGCCGGTATTGCACCACCTGACATCCGCCGGGAAGTAGCAGCCAATAGTGAAAGGACCAAGGCAGAGACATCTCCAGCTCATCCCTTGTTTGGGTATCAGCCAGCACGTCAACGACTTAAATCAAGAAATAGTTTTCTTAGATCTACAGAGACACTCGCTGGAACACCTAAGCAAGCGAGAGTCCAAAAGTGGCAGGCTCAAACCCAGCACCTCAACCAATGGCTGATACCAAATGAGAGACTCCCCCTGGGCACACAGAAGACTGGGCGACTTGGAAGGCATTGAACAGACTGCGCTCTGGCACCACGAGATGCAGAGCCAACCTTCAGAAATGGGGCTACAAAGTAGAATCCTCGACATGCGAGTGTGGAGAAGAACAAACCACTGACCACCTGCTGCAATGCAACCTGAGCCCTGCCACATGCACAATGGAGGACCTTCTTGCAGCAACACCGGAAGCACTCCAAGTGGCCAGATACTGGTCAAAGGACATTTAACCAGCTACCAAACTCACAAGTTGTGTATTTTTCTGTTTGTTTGCTTTGTTCTGTTAGACTGATTGTTCTGACACGACAAATAAATAAATACCTATGTTGTTCATAACTAGGGACAGCCTGTGCAAGTACATCTCCTAATTTTATAGTGCTTATTTTAAAGAAGCCACAGCAGATAATGCATTTGAGCACTGAAGAGCTAGATGAGGAGAAGCTAATCTTTCCATTCATTTAGTTCTCCTTCTCTAACTTGCTGCCTGAGGAAGAAAAGCTGGATTGTTCAATTAAGGATATTCAAGACATTTTATCATCCAGCTCTTTGAAACTAAAAGAGAGACAAAATGATGGATGAGGATGTGTATAAAGTTTTCACACCCATTAAAAATTAAGACCCTGCTTCATCTGTTTTTCCTTACTTATTAGCACAGTGATGCACTTGCATACTGACAAATAAAATCCAGAAGAACAAGTAAAAGTATTTTTAGTTACATACTTCTTGTTCACTGTAAAAAAAAAAAGTCACCTTACATTTTACAGTGTATTAACTTCAAATGAAATAAACAACCTTATATTATTTAGAATAATAAATGGTACAAGAAAAAGCAGGTGGACAACAAATCAAAAATGAATCAGGGACAGAGTTAAATTAAGAATATTTTATTTAGGAAAACAAAATAATATTAAGTTGCTCCTGTAATATTATCTGGAGAGAGATTTCTAAAAATGAGCTACTAATAATCTGTCCCTGGAAGACAATCATACTCGGCCCCAAGAGATAGCCTATGATGATGAATAATCGGTCGTTTTCTATGGAAATCTGGGGAAGTCCACTAAAATAAGATGCCCAAAACTTGGCCTTATTAGATGCAAGAAAATAATTGTTTAATGCCTCTAAATCCTTACAAGATTCTTGCCACCATACGGGAAAGCACGTGAAAAGCAGTGTTCTCTTTTGAATATACAACCAATGAAAGTCTAATGTAAACTGGTATTAATTTCCAAAACTAACAGAGTTACATTTAGTCATTTTGTCTTCCTCGGGAAGCAGAAAGTCCAATAAGAGCAATGTCATCAAAATAACAGTCTTCTATTTGAAATTAGGTCTCCCACATATTTCTTAAATGACTATATAAAAAAAACTGGTGAAGAGATTATCCCAGTATTTCTTCTTACCTTTGGAAACCTTTCTTTGTAAACATGGTTCATCATTACTATTTCACTATCGAACGATACTGGAGAACGGCCAGGACTGCAGGGGGGAAAAAAAGAAGATTTTAATATCTAACTGAAACAATGGTTGTTTCTCCCCTCCCAGATTGACTCTTGGATGTTAACTGGAAATGGAAAAAAGGAAATGCTATTTAATTTCACAAAATGTTAAAATGGCATCTACTTAACTTGCACAAAGAAATACTAAATTATATATTTTGGAATACTATCACAGAAAAATAAGACCAGACGACCAACTATTTCACCTTTGGAGAAGATTCTTATCTCAGAAAGGCAAAAAGAATGGTTAATGGGAATAAACACGAAATTGCAATGAAAAAAAAAAGAAATGCAATAATAGCCATGGCAAAAAAACCCTAAATATTAATATCTCTGATCAAATGCAAAAATATTGGTACCGAATGTATTATATTATATTCTTAGTAAAGGTATATAAGTGTGTTAAATGTCAGAATTTCTAAAATATTTCAAAACCTACTTAATAGTAGTAGGAAAAACATATGTCTGCCGATATCTTGTGGGAATGCATTTCTCTTAATCAGCATTATTCAGCATTGGAAAGATATCAATCAAGTTATAAAACATACAATACACTGCCACTGATGCCACTGCTGAACCAAGCAAAAACAGAACATGAAGGAATTATAGTATAAACATTAACATCAGCATGTCAACTGCTGGCATAGAAAATACAATCATACTGTCCACTGCTGGAATGTCAGAGGAAAATAATGCTTATGAACAAAATTATGAATTATAAAAACATATCATAGAATCATAGAATCAAAGAGTTGGAAGAGACCTCATGGGCCATCCAGTCCAACCCCCTGCCAAGAAGCAGGAATATTGCATTCAAATCACCCCTGACAGATGGCCATCCAGCCTCTGCTTAAAAGCTTCCAAGGAAGGAGCCTCCACCACACTCCGGGGCAGAGAGTTCCACTGCTGAACGGCTCTCACAGTCAGGAAGTTCTTCCTAATGTTCAGATGGAATCTCCTCTCTTGTAGTTTGAAGCCATTGTTCCTGCGTCCTAGTCTCCAGGGAAGCAGAAAACAAGCTTGCTCCCTCCTCCCTGTGGCTTCCTCTCACATATTTATACATGGCTATCATATCTCCTCTCAGCCTTCTCTTCTTCAGGCTAAACATGTCTAGTTCCCTAAGCCGCTCCTCGTAGGGCTTGTTCTCCAGACCCTTGATCATTTTAGTCGCCCTCCTCTGGACACATTCCAGCTTGTCAATATCTCTCTTGAATTGTGGTGCCCAGAATTGGACACAATATTCCAGATGTGGTCTACCCAAAGCAGAATAGAGGGGTAGCATTACTTCCTTAGATCTAGACACTATGCTCCTATTGATGCAGGCCAAAATCCCATTGGCTTTTTTTGCCGCCACATCACATTGTTGGCTCATGTTTAACTTGTTGTCCACGAGGACTCCAAGATCTTTTTCACACATACTGCTCTCGAGCCAGGCATCCCCCATTCTATATCTTTGCATTTTGTTTTTCCTGCCAAAGTGGAGTATCTTGCATTTGTCACTGTTGAACTTCATTTTGTTAGTTTTGGCCTCTCTCTAATCTGTCAAGATCGTTTTGAATCCTGCTCCTGTCCTCTGGACTATTGGCTATCCCTCCCAATTTGGTGTCGTCTGCAAACTTGATGATCATGCCTTCTAACTCTTCATCTAAGTCATTAATAAAGATGTCGAACAGGACCGGGCCCAGGACGGAACCCTGCAGCACTCCACTTGTCACTTCTTTCCAAGATGAAGAGGAAGCATTGGTGAGCACCCTCTGGGTTCGTCCATTTAACCAATTACAGATCCACCTCACCGTAGTTTTGTCTAGCCCACATTGGACTAGTTTCCTTGCCAGAAGGTCATGCGGGACCTTGTCGAAGGCCTTACTGAAATCCAGGTACGCTACATCCATGGCATTCCCCGCATCTACCCAGCTTGTAACTCTATCGAAAAAAGAGATCAGATTAGTCTGGCATGACTTGTTTTTGATAAATCCATGTTGACTATTAGCGATGACCGCATTTGTTTCTAAGTGTTTGCAGACCACTTCCTTAACAATTTTTTCCAGAATCTTGCCTGGTATCGACGTGAGGCTGACCGGACGGTAATTGTTTGGGTCATCCTTTTTTCCCTTCTTGAAGATTGGGACCACATTGGCCCTCCTCCAATCTGCTGGAACTTCTCCCGTTCTCCAAGAACTCTCAAAGATGGTTGCCAATGGTTCCGAAATGACTTCCGCTAGTTCCTGCAATACTCTGGGGTGTAGTTGATCTGGCCCTGGGGACTTGAACTCATTTAGAGCGGCCAGGTATTCCTGGACGACTTGTTTCCCAATTTGGAGTTGGATGTCCTCCAATCCCTCATCCACTCCATCTTGCTGAGGTTGAAGATGACTTTCTTTTTGTGAGAAGACCGAGGCAAAGAAGGCATTAAGTAGTTCTGCCTTTTCCTTATCCCCTGTCAGCATTGCCCCATCTTCTCCTCGAAGAGGTCCTATCGCCTCCTTGTTTTTCCTTTTTCTACTGACATAAGAATAGAAGCCCTTTTTATTGTTTTTAATGTCCCTGGCAAGCCTGAGCTCGTTTTGTGCTTTAGCCTTGCGGACCTTTTCCCTACAGGTGTTGGGTATTTGTTTGAATTCTTCTTTGGTGATTTCTCCCTTTTTCCACTTCTTGTGCATGTCTCTTTTGTGTCTTAGCACAGTTAGAAGTTCTTTGGACATCCATTCTGGCTTCTTTGCACTTGTCCTATTTTTTCTCTCTGTTGGCACGGTTTGCAATTGCACCTTGAATATTTCATTCTTGAGAAATTCCCATCCATCCGTAACTCCCTTGTCTTTTAGTATCTGTGTCCACGGAATGCTGCTCAGCGTTTCCTTCATTTTTCGGAAATCAGCTCTCCTAAAGTCCAAAATGCGGGTTTGACTTGTCTTGGTTTCGGCCTTCCTTTGTACCTCAAATTGCAGGAGCACATGGTCACTTGCCCCTAAGGATCCTACCACTTCGACCGCATCGATCAGGTCCTCCGCATTTGTTAGGATGAGATCAAGAGTAGCCAATCCCCTTGTTGCCTCTTCTACCTTCTGGACCATGAAACTGTCTGCAAGGCAAGCGAGGAATTTGTTGGACCTTGTACTCTTGGCCGAGTTTGTTTTCCAGCAAATATCAGGGATAGTTGAAATCGCCCATGACTACTACATCTCTTCTCTGTGCCTGTTTGGTCAACTGTTGGCAGAAGACTTCATCAAGTTCTTCCTCCTGGCTTGGGGGTCTGTAGTAGACGCCTACAACGACATCTTTTTGAGTCCCAGTTCCCTTGATTCTTATCCAGATGCTTTCAAGCTGGTTTTCCGGATTGCTGTCTTGCATCTCTTCTGCAGCATAAGAATTTTTCACATATAAGGCTACTCCGCCTCCTCTCCCCTTTGTTCGGTTTCTGTGAAAGAGGTTATAGCCCTCGATGTCTACATTCCAGCGATAGGAGTCATCCCACCAGGTTTCAGTGATGCCTATGATATCATATTTGTGGTGTTGTGCTAAAAGTTGGAGTTCGTCTTGTTTATTTCCCATGCTCTGTGCATTAGTGTAAAGACATGTGAGCCCCTGAGATCTTCCCTTGAGCTGTTTAATTGGGATTATTGTGCTTTTGGTACTTGGTCCTTGTTGTGTTTGTGCAGCCCTCCGTTTAGCCTTCTTGCGATTCCCAGACATTATGGGTAAAGTAGTGTTCGCAAGGCTGTTGTCCCCCTCCCCCGGTGGACCTAGTTTAAAGTGCGTCTAATGAGGTTTGCGAGTCTGTGAGCAAAAAGGTGTTTTCCTACTTGTGTGAGATGCACCCCATCCCTTGCCAGTAGGCCATCCTCCTGGAAAAGCAGGCCATGGTCGAGGAAGCCAAAGCGTTCCTCCTGACACCATTTTCTAAGCCAGTTATTGACCTGTACTATTTTTCTGGCTCTTGTGGGTCCATGTCTTACAACTGGGAGGAGGGAGGAAAACATGACCTGTACATTACACTGTTCCAAGAGCTCAAAAATCATTTGTGATATTTTGAAAAGTATGCCTAGCAGTATCATTGGTTCCTACATGAATCAACATGAGGGGAGGACGGTGATAGGGCTTGAGGAGCCTGGTGAGCCTCTGAGTGATATGGTGTATTTTTGCCCCCGGTAGGCAGCATATTTCTCGAGCCATCCCATCTGGTCTGGAAATGACGGCTTCCGTTCCTCTAAGGAGGGAGTCGCCTACTACCAAGACCTGTTTACTTTCAGGATTGACAGGGCCCCTTTTGTGCAATGTAGTGAGTAGGTCCCCAGAAAAGTGATCCTGTTGGTGTGAATTGTGTAGGTGTAAAGTGTTGTCCTCCTCCTCGACATCCCCGGTGCATTCGTCAAGGACGAATTTCCAAAGGACTAGAAAATCTTTCAAGAAAAGGTGTATATTCATCTGACATTTTTACTAGTCATACACAAGCAACACCAGATGCTCTTGAAATTATTTGAATGGACTCAGGTGTATACGCCTGAAGATGAATGTAACAGAAAAACAAAAACAATCATTCATTAGACTTCTTGTCTATATTATGATTTTTATTTGATTGTCTATGATACATAAAATGACTAGGAATTATTAAAATAATTGTACTTAACAATAATGAAGAAAGCAAGTTACTACTAAGACATTTAGTCCATTGTAGTTAATTTTTTAAAAATTGTTTACATCAATAGCAAATACAGTCAAGCCCTCCACAATTGTAGGTTTATCTTTTGATGATTTAATTATTCACAAATTTGATTAAAATATTCTCTAGGAATCACTAGGTCTTCTAGACAAAATACAAATCACTAGGTCCTCTAGTGCAACTCTATGGTCACAGTCTACCAGCATTTGACCACAGAACTGCACAGGCAGGTCTAGAGATTCCTAGAGAATATTTTAATCAAATTTGTGAATAATTAAATTAGCAAAGGTTAAGCCTCTGGCATAAGTGGACCACATGCTGGAAGAACTAGAGGAACTAGAAATTCCTAGAAGGGTGGTATCTCACTTTAAAAATACTTTTTTATTCATGGCTTTCTCACTTTTCTGAGGATCCTGTGCCCTTAACCTTAGTGAATATGGAGAGCTGATTGTAACAGGAGACAGGTATCTTGTGTGAATATCATCTATCTGCTAATCATGTGAAGAAACCACTTAGTATGAGATTCCCTGCTGTCGTTGTTGTGTGCCTTTAAGTCATTATCAATTTATGGTAAACCTAATACAAATTTATCATGAGGTCCATTGGCAAGATTATTCTCAGAGTCATTTCTGAAGTTGGACCAAAAGTTTACCTGAGACTGCGAGATCGGGGGCGCATTGCTGGAGACTGTCGTCCTTCCTCATCAGTGATGCTTTCTGTACTGAAATGCTTTGTCAGGAAGTGAAGTTCATCTGCTGTTGGTTGGTAGGGCAGTTGATGCAGCTTCTCCTGAGATGAGCATGACGACTAAGAACAAAATATATACAAGAAATTCCTTAATATGAAGTACAGGACTCATACATAACCACACAATGACTTTACCTGTTCTTTTCTTTCAAAACAAAATGAAAAAGTGTATGCATTTTGAAGTTGCCCTTAGTTTATTATTCTAGTGAAGGAAAGACAAGAAAAAAACTTCCAAAAAAGTAAAATATCCATGATTCTTGGGCCACTAGCTAACACCCCCTGTTTCAAAAGACTGAATGAAAGATGATCTAGAGTTTTAGACAATCTATTCAAAATTTAGTATATGCGACCATCTCTTATCTCAAATCCTTTAATCTTAAATACTTTAGAAATAATCGTATCAGATGTTATCCAAAGTAATTTATCATTACTTCACTTGAGGCAAGATAAAAACAAAGCTTTGTGACACATGGTGCAAATATGTAGCACAAATTAATTTTAACTATGATACAATTGTCAAAAGCAGTGGTTCCCAAACTTTGGTCCTCCAGGTGTTTGGGACTTTAACTCCCAGAAGTCCCAGACAGCATGGCCATCTATCAGAAATTCTGGGAAACGAAACACCTGGAGGATCAAATGTTGGGAACTATTGATCTGAAGGTTTAACACTATAAAGCAGGGTGGCAAAGATAAGTTATGAAATAAATACTGGTCCTAAGCTATCTATATATGGCTGTCATTTATTGAGTGTGATAAGTCTGCAGAAATGACCTTTAACAGATTAATTACATTTCCATATTCCCCAAGATCAAAGCAAACATAAAACATTTTAGTTGAATGCGTTCATAAGTATAGCTAAGCACAATCAACTGATGCCTATCAATTTGTGAACCAGGCTACAATATATAAATATGAACTCTCCCAGTTCTTGTTGCTCATGTGCTTTAAATGAACACAAAAGAGATGGAGCAGAAACTGCAAGAATGGTTCACACTAGGTATTAGAAACATTTTAAAGTTCTAGTCCGTTATCACTGAGATCTTGTTCTCTAAAGTTTTCAGCTCTTCCGCATTGTGTTTATTTCATGCTTATTGTTTTGTTCAATTAAAAATATGTGTCCTCAAACTGTCATTCCCAGGTGGCTATAAAACAAATGAATCTCCAACAGCAACCCAAAAAGGAATTAATAATTAATGAAATCCTGGTCATGAGGGAAAATAAGAATTCAAACATCTCCCTTAAAATGGGTTTGGCCCTTGAGAAGACGGACTCGGGAAAAAAGGCTCCAACAAATCTTGGTCCACAACGGGTGGCGGGCAAGGGCCATGATTACCCTAAAACAGGGGAACGGGGGCGCCCAAGGGGGGAGCAATTTGTTTTACATAACCCCCCCCCTGCCTGTTACCAAGCTCCCACCTGGGGCTTGGCGATTCTGGCTACCGGGGCCTCAATCAAAGGTTGCTGGATGGGGGGCATAATAAAAAGCCCTTAACAACGGGTTTGCGGCCCCAAAGATGGAACCTAAACTGAAACCGCCTTTCGGGCCGTATTTGAAAAAGCCCACGAAAAGGACTTTGAAGAATCTTCCGGGGGGGAAGGGGGCCTTGCTTTCTCGAAATTCGCGCCTGCGTCAAACAGGCCACGGCTGGCGGGGGGGGGAGGGAAGAGGAATAGGGGGGGCCTCTCGGTGTGGGGTCTCGGGCTGTGGTGTGCAAAAAAACACCCTCCCGTAGGGACAACAGGCTAAGGCCCCACCCTGTTGGATATTAGCAGGGAAAATAGCTTAACAAGAAAATGGTTTGTTTAAGAAAGGGGGCATTGGAATAGAGTGCAATGGACTGGTAAAAACTCGGGTACCATTAGGGGGAAATGGGGGGGAAAAAAACACAAAAACGAAATTGCTATATCGGATTGTGAACTTGACGATGAGACAACTTGGAATGGCTTGTAGTAATGTTGATGTTTTTGATGAGATGTTTTGATAATGATGTACTGCGGATTATTTTATTTTATGCTGAGAATTGCGGTATATAAGCGAAGTAAATAAAATAAATAAATAAATAAATAACTTACTGAAACTGTTGAACTAGGAGTATTTGTTCCATATCCAGATGAAGGGAGGGAGGCCAGAGACCAACGACGTCCATCTGTCCTGAAGAGAGATGCAAACAGTATTAGAAATTACTGCAAACTTTTAGTAATTTAGTAACAAAGTTATTCTACTTAAGTAAAATGTGCTATAGTTACTGCTCAGCCACTGTTTTAAATTTGTTCCCCAAATGGCTACAGGTTGGTTATAAAGTAGTGATAGTGATAATTATGAAGTTGGAAATCTGGTCTGCATCCTGCCAGGCTATATGACAAAGTCATACAGACAAATATATTCACACAGGTTCACATCCTGTTCTCTGCACAGAGTGCCATTGCAAAAAAACATCAGGAGTTTCTTACACAATGATATTGTTAAGTATGGTTTAACATCTACAGGCATTATATTCAAAGAGTTTCATTAGGTAAGTCCTGGGTTTGGTGTTTCAACACTAAAGGTGAGAATTTGCCTTGTTTGTAGAAAAAAGATATCTTTCAAGGTTTTTGGCAGATAATCCTTATTGTATTTTACATTTAACAAGAGCAGTATGTGTAAAATTAAACTTCATATTTTGTCCATTAAATTTAGGAACAATATTTCTAAACCACCTTGTTCTCACTCTTAACATTAAGCAAAGGAATATCAGACACACATGATAACATAATAAACCCGTAATAAACAACGCCCTCATGCTTCATGCATAAGATCACACATCTTTAAGATGCAGTTACACAACTCATGCTGCAATTAATCCCATTTAGGCAACCTTTTGAACATCAAGATCATCAAATGCCACTGCCATTTTTTATGTCTTGCATCTTATAGGAGACAAGTACTGGTCACTGAATTATTATGGGATGAAAGAATAATACTGCTTGAAGATGTTAAAATATTAGAAAAAGCAATACAAAGATAGCTTCTGTGGATGCAAGAGTCTCATCTGAAACTACTGATTTTCATGTGAATTCTAACATGAAAAACTGCCAACATTTAGATTCTCATTTAAGATATGAAAGTAGGATATAAGTAAATAATAGGAGGAAGAGACGGCTGACTTTTGATTTAAATTTCTATTTGATTCCTCAGCCTTTGTGGAAGAGGTCTCTTGTTCTACCTTTTCATTGTCTACTTCAGTTTTCCTGCATTGATTTATAATAGTTCTCTCTGTCTCCATTTGCAATTCATTGAATAGATACATTCAGGATTGTGTATTCTTTTACATTTGATATGCCCTTAGGTATTTAAATAATTTTATTAGTCAAGTGATTCTTTTTTTTAATTAGAGGCAATGTCTTTTTTTGCATTCTTCCCTGATAATGTGTCTGGTTTCAATCCAGCATTTATCTGGCTCTATATCTATTAGGCTTAGTACAGGAAAGCTGTTCTTTATACAGCTTACAGTCTTACCTGTGAGTATATCTCACTTAATTCAATAGAATTTGATTTAGAGTTGAGAATGCAGTGTACAATAATATTTACAAAATAGAATAGCAATGTAAAATAATAATAATTGTTATTTCTAGCAGTGTCTAAATGGGATTATGGCATCATATAAACTCGCTGGGACTGCAGCATGCAAAAGCATTATACACCATATACATATATGTACATCTGCTAAACCATTACCTGTCTGCCCTGTGTCCATGGCTATATAAAAGAAACAGTACCAGCAATAAAAATTGGGAACAAATCAAGGAGATGAAAAACATGAAACTTTAAAAAAAAATGTAATCAACTAGGGTATTTACATTTTAATTCCAACTATACCAACTATTATTCAGCTCAGTTTTATTAGTTTAAAAACTAAACACTCGTATCACAAAATTATGAGGTTTGAGAATAGCTGCATCTTTACATGAAACAAATTATTCTCTATGACACAACATGTATGATGAGAGGGAAATCTCACACTAGAGAGAAAAATCAGCTTAATACTATACCACACCAGTAAAGGGGAAATTAGAGTTTCTGTTTATTTCTTTTCCTAGCACACCACCTATATACCCATCCATTCTGATTTAAGTCTTGGTCCCTTTGAGGACATCAGAATTGGATGAAAGTTTTATGTCTAGCCTAAAAACCCAGCTCTTCCGCTACCATAGGGTTCTAATGTTTTGCTGCTTGAAAGTTATGCTTCATGGGCATGTGTCAGTCCACAAGCCATCAGCTGCAATCCTGCTGAGGTTTCAGGAAAGATGGAAACAACTATACCCAGGAGGATAAAATATGGTATCAGACTCTGATACTCTGAGAGAGGGTGGGAAGGAACTGCCAGTTTCTCACATAAAATAGTTTGGAAAGCACTTTCTAATACAAGAGAAGGCTCTGTTGCTATCAGGAATCTTACAGCCAGAACTGAGGCTCTGGACAAAGTTGAAAGCAAGCAACAGCATATAGAGAATGGATGTTACAATTAAAGAACAAATTCAGAAAGGAGATGAGATATGCTCCTCACAAACAATAAGACTACATAAATGCAAACTCTTACTGCCAAAATTCAGAATCTAAACATACAAGATAGGCAACAAAGTCCCGCCCAATGCAGATTCTGTGACAAGTCCACATTTTATAAGGTATGGGAGTCATGGATGGATCCTGATAATCTTCAAAGTGCTTTTACTTCAAGTAAGCATTCTGTACAAATAAAGTACAGAGTATTATTTTTGTGCCTGTCAGGTAAAAATGTATTTCTGCTTAATGCATTAACATCCTTGATCAAAGCAGTGGGATGCAATGACAAAAAAGAAGACTATGGAAAAGTGGAAAGCTGGTGGAGGAAGGCCTCTTCCGTGGTAAATGACATTAAATGTTCACTAGACATACTCCCTGGTCTTTGTAGACTGGAACAGAAAACAGCACTGTTCCAGGAGGAATTACTGCTGGTATTTCTTGGGTAGGTGGAAGACAAAACAAATCAAATGATTCTAATTATATTTCATCAAATGTGAGGGTAAAATGTTATGACAAGAAGCAGGAATTCACACAGTAAAAGGCAAGAAGTGCAGTCGTAGCCTGTCTGGTGCAGAATTGGGGGAGAAAAGTTGTGGGAACATTGGATAAATCCAGAGATATCCTAAGAATTAAGAGAAAACTTAAATTGCTCTTGCACAGTTCATGGTTTGAGGTCACCTGAAACAGGAACCTTCTCGGGTGTTTCCCAGACCTACTAGTGTAAGGTACTATATATACTCAAATATAAGCCCAATTTTTCAGCCCTTTTAAGGCTGAAAAGGGCTCCCTTGGCTTATATTCAAGTGAGGATCCTTGTGAAAAGGCATGGAGCTCAAAAAAGAACCCTCACCTCTCTACTTAGCAACCTAGCTCTCATTTCTCTCCTCCTCCCTCACCACACCTTTCTTTCATCCTCCCTCGCCCTTCGCTGTTGCCTAGGATCCAAGGTCGCTCTAGAGGCGGATCCCACCCTTGCCTGCCTTTCTTCCTTCCTTCCTTCCTTCCTTCCTTCATGCCTTCGTATCCTGGCTGGGAGATCTGCTCTGGTTGCTCCCTCTCTGCCTTTCCAAGCCTGATGGACCTTCTCCCCACCCCCCCCCCCCCCCCGGGCCTGGCTTTTGCTTCAGGTTCATGGGGATTGAGGAATCGGCTTTGGTTGGGCTTGTCCCTCTCTTGCTTTATGCTTTTTTTCCCCAGTTTTTTTGGCTCCCCATCCCCTATTTGGAACTCCAAACCTTCCTGGGGTTTCAGACACTGACTTCCTCACTGATGCAAAATGTGACTTCAGTGGGGAAGGGTGTGCTACCAAGAGAGAAGAGAGAGAAAAGGAGATCCTGACAAAAACAGAACTGGCTGGGGTCCATGCAAATACAAATAATTTATTATTATTATTATTATTATTATTATTATTATTACATTTATTATTTTATTCTATTATTATTAAATTTGTTATTTTACTCTATTTATTATTATTATTATTATTATTACATTTGTTATTTTACTCTTATTATTTTTATTATTACATTGAAGAAGGTTAGAATAATGATTTAATCAGAGTTGGACAGTCTTATCTTAAATTATAGTTTTATGTTAATATAAAAATTAGCCTACTGATGTTTCAATTAATGTAATTTTATTGGTATCTATTTTTATTTTTGAAATTCACTAGTAGCTGCTGCATTTCCCACCCTTGGCTTATACTTGAGTCAATTAGTTTTCCCAGTGTTCTGAGGTAAAATTAGGTGCCTCAACTTATATTCAGGTCAGCTTATACTCGAGTATATATAGTATTTTAGTTTTTTTAGATAAGAGTACTGCTTCCTACATTAAAGATATACTGGTTGTGACAGTTTAATGAGCGATAAGGAAGATATCTAGCAGCTTAACTGGAGAACTAGTGAAGGGGATAGGGTGGTGTTTAGGACATTTGTTGCGGACCTGCAAGTCACACTGTGTCTTGTATGTCTGGGAAAACATCCTCTTGGCAATGCTGCTGAAGGGCATTCTAAATATAACCACAGCAATAACCCTATGATATCTAAATGGACTTTTGTTGCCAGTTAAATATCATTTTGAGAAAGGTCTCCAGATTTATAGGTCTACATCTTTCCTGCATTCTGTGCAGCACCTTGCGTGTTAATGAAACTAATTCCAGGATGGAGAACTTGTGGCCCTCCAAATATTGTTGGCACACAACATCATGATTGGTCCTTCTGTGTAAGGTAAGTTAACAGTACAACAACATTTAGAGAGAGATATGTTCTTTACCCCTGCACTACAGAAACACTATGCTGATTTTGTATCTCTTCCTCTATAGTTAGAATGCAACTATATGTAATAAAGTGATAATTCCTTTAAAATTGATGATCTATACTGCAGAAAAAAGAGGAGAACAATCTGTTAATTAGCTTTTCTCAGTCCAGTGATCAGTACTGTATCATTAGAGGAGTAAAAGCAGCTGGAGAAAGCAATTAGAAAGGAAGAAATCAACATGCACACTCATGCAAATCATGTTCCACTGAAGGCACTTGACAAGAAGGTGCTGCCAACAACACTATTACATGTGGCTGCAATGTAACATGTAAGTAAGCAACCAGCGTTTTTATCTTTTCAGATTCCTAAACTGATGGGTCTTTCTGGGAGACTGCTAAAAACTGTAGTCTAGATATTGGGATAATGGTGATGCTACATTTTGAATTCCTGTTTCACTATATACAACTTTATGTAGAAAATACAATTTAACAGAGACATTAGGCCATAGTTTTAAAAAAATCTCTTGAGCCTACACAACTGACAAAGATTCACTGCTAGGAGCTGTTCCACACAACCCTGTATATCAGAATATCAAGGCAGAAAATCCCACAGTATCTGCTTTGAACTGGGTATCCTAGTCCACACTACCATATATTCCAGTTCAAAGCAGATAATGTGGGGTTTTCTGCCTTGATATTCTGGGATATAGGGCTGTGTGGAAGGGCCCTAGATTTCAATGTGATGGGATATTCCCCGAACAATTTTAAACACTATGACTCATTCATTTATTACTAGTTCCACTACTGTTTTTTTCTCATGAATTCTCAAAACAAACAGAAATCTGGATCAGTTAGAACTTCTGACCTAAACAAAGTCAAAATATAAGGATTTGTTAAATGAATTTATACGTCCCTGTTACATCAAAAAAGGCATTCAAGTATACGGCATTTAACTGTTTAGAAAAGGTAGTGACATATAATGTAACAACTTTTATCACCTAAGTATTGTGGCAGACACAGCCAAGTATCCCTCATATTACATTAATGCTTTGAACAGCGAATCATACTTTAGGAATGAGTGAGTTCTGCCACTTTGTGTTAACCGTAAATTGAGTGTTTCAGAAGCAAATAACAAATGAGACAAACAAATGAAACAAGAGTTTAACCTAATCTGTAAGGCCTAAGAGGATATAAGAGCTACCGGTGCTGGGCCTCTTCCTCCCAATTTAAATAGCAATTGAGTTAGGATAGGATGAACGCTGCTACACTGAGGTCCGACTATGCACACTGTTATACACCAAATCTGTTAGGAGTAATAAAAGTGGTACATTTTTCACAAAAGTTAAATATCAGTTAAATATCCCTTATCTGAAATGTTTGGGGCCAAAAGTGTTTGATATCAGAATTATGATTATTGTTACTGTTGTTGTTGAATATCTGCATATCATAAAGAAATACTTTAAAGATGTATATATTTATGTTTCATATTATACACAGTATTTTAATATTTTTGTGCATAAAACAGTTTGTGTACATTGAACCACCATAAAGCAAAGTGGTTACTATTTCATTCACTCATACGGATGATTTTAGATCTTAGAGCATTTTGGATTTCCAGATAAGGGATACTTTGTCCAAATCCCTAGTATAAGAATCTATTTTCTTATACAGGAGGGTAAAACAGATCTTGTGCAAATAAATAATTAAGACAGTTGATCTGTGTTTTTTGTTCTGTCAATGATTCAAAGTCTAGAGATTATAAATATAAAGATTAATGTTTGAGAGTAAATAATTAAGCATACAGATCTAAATTGCTTTAAGCAGCAGAAGTACTAATCAAAACAGAAATGTGCACACATACCTACGAGCCGGAACAAAGGAAAAGTGAGAAGGCGCATTTGGGGAGAAATTTCTGGGACTGTCCAACGGACTTCCACCTGTTAAAAGAAGTACAAAAAAATGACATGTGTATCACATCCACTTCTCTTACTATACTTTACCTAACACAAGGCACAGCCACTTGTAATTTGCATATGCCATTTAGAGCTATGTATCTGTCACATATTTTCTTGCCTACAGCAATCTCAACAGCCAAACTTTTAAAAAATTATTTTCACAATGTATAAAAATTGGGCAACTTTCTGATGAATTAGAATTATGATATTTAGGATACCTATTTAGATTATCAGGATATCTACACTTACAAGAAGAGCCCCCGCCCCCCGCCCCATTGGATCAAATTGAGGGCATGTCCAGTTTTCCATATCCAAGAATTTGTCCAAACTGAGATGCCGAGTTTTCCTTTAAGATTCATTTCATAAGTTGATATTGGTTTCTGTTATTATAAGTACTTACTATGTTTATGGCATATTTACCCCATTTGAAAATCAGTATAAGGACTCTGTTACGCAATTACAATAGATAATCACCTGAAAACATTTATTACAAATTTCAAACTTCCAAACTTGACTATGATTCAATTGGCCTCAATTTGCTGTAACCAACACATTTTACCAAAAAAAAACCCTTCTTTTAGAATTACAAAATTTTCCACAGAAAAATTAAATACAGGAAAAAGATTCATACCATTAATCTCCAAGCAGCTGCTTTTGATAGACATACTGCCTATCTCTGAAAGTAGAGTTAACATATAGATAACTGTAGTAGTGCGAGTTTGGGAATTCTGTCTCTTGACACTTATACAACAGAAAAGTGATTTTATGAATGGCATATCTGCCTGGTAGCAACCATTTGGTAACCTTCAAAATACCATATATGACTGTCAGCACAAATGCCCAAAAGTTCACATTTCAGTTGTGTAAACTTTCTGTAGCAAATTTACATTTTAAACAATGCATACTGTTTCATTGACCAAGTGAGGTACTTGTTAACGCATCAGCTCAGAACACAATCTGGGAGATATTAGCCTCCAACTATTCAACAACAGGTTGATGGCATTTCTGTGGCACATTTCCTTCCTGACTCTGGAATTTTAATGAGATCCCAGGTGAAATATTTCTCAGTTTAAGATGAAACATAATTAGTAGTCCTACTCTACTTGTCAGAGTGGAGCACTGAAAACAACAGGAAAAAGAGGAATTTAATCGTAATTCAATACCTCCTATGAAAGCTGAGATTTTTAATAATCTTACATTTTTAAAAATGAAGAAAAGAACATTCATTAGAAGCAAGAATTCATATATAAGCTTTTTTGGGGGGGGGGGGGGAAATCAAGAGATACAATATAACATTGTTTCAGAAATGCAAGGCACATTACCACTGAAGGACACAGTAGACCACACAATAGCAATCCTCAATTGGCATCACGGTACATAAAGTGCTGCTATATATGCTTGTGTTGTCTTCTCATTGTAGACAATTTTTAAAAAAACAGGACAACAATTATTTAATCATCTGCTATATTGTCTCTCCATCCATCCACCCATCCATCCCTCTTCTCTTTCTTGCTCTCTCTTTCTGACACACACACACAGTCTTCTAGTCCTCTAACTAATGCAGGAAGTATTTTCCACACAGATGTACAAATGCAACCTGTCATTGGGTGAAAGGCTATGATTAAGATAAGGGTTTGAAGAAATATGAATGTTTTCTAGTAAGCTATCAAATCTCCTCAAGCTCAATGCCAATGTTTGACATATGCATACAGGTGGAAAGAACAAAGCCATGGATATAATGCCAATCATCTTAAGAACGTCCTGACACTCTTCATGATTCATTTGATTAAAACCATCAATCTCTCAAATCCTATTAGTCTCAAACCAGGTATCACATGTGCTAAAAATACATAATGTGAATTTCAAATAACAAGAATCATGTTGGGTAATATTATGAATGAAGAAAAATGAAAACATAAAATTAAGATAAAGCTAATCTACTATGACTACTTAGGACAACAGCCATTTTATTATCTCTTAAATGATATCAAACAGTACCATATTATTGAACATTTTAACCAGTTATATTTAACAAAAATATGTACACTTATTTAAGAAGAACAATGACACTGGGAAAAACACCAGTTCAGAAAATAATATTTGAAAAGTTCAATAGATTATCACCCACTATCTGCACTAGGGAAAAAAATAGTCTGTCCTTACTGGGGATGTTAGTTTGTGGTTTTGCCTGTATTTGGAGCAACACTCAAGAAACAATCTTCCTCAAACATAATCCATAATAGCATGGCAAAGAGTGTGCGAATTTCTGAAGAAATATATATTTCCTGAACTTTCCCAATAGCATCTTCTTCCTACACTAGATGTCCAAGGAAGAAAAATAGCATTGTAAATGCTGGATTTTTGTTCTGGAGATTGGGAACTGAAGCTGATGATGAGATGTGGTTTATTTACCCAAATAAATATGCCTTATTAACACTTGGAGTCATTTATTACCGTTGTTCCAAGTGCATTTTTTTAAAAAAAAGACTTAGCCATCCAGCCTAAGAGGAATATGGACTGAGAAGACTAAGGCCCCTTCTACACTACCATCTAAAATCCAGATTATCTGCTTTGAACTGGATTATATGGCAGTGTAGACTCATATAATCCAGTTCAAAGCAGATAATTTAGATTATGTGCTTTGATAATTTGAATATATAACAGTGTAAAAAGGGCCTAAGAGGACTTAAGGACTAAGGAGAGTTCTTTGAAGAGAATACATTGATGAGAGCTGTCCTCAAACTTGAAGCTCATCCTGCTTCGAAAAAGCTATTTGCTAGTACCCATCAAGTTAAGTCTTACTTAATGTGATATTCCCTTTTTTACTGGGCCATAAAGATAACCATTTAAAAGTCAGTGAAAAACTAAATTATAACTGATATAACACTATGCACAAACATGCATACCAACGAGTTAGCTTAAATACTGCTTCCAAGGAAATAGTTACTGATATGTCAGCTGATATCGCTTGCAAGATTTAAATACATTTTTTAAATGTTCAGCTACAGAATTCCAATTTTAGCTGTGGGTACTGAAATATCGATGCTAATTTGCAAAAGAATGCACATAACCACTGAAATGCTCTTTGGAGAACTTCAGTAGCTCTTAAATGAGAAAAGCAGGTGGCTTTTTCTAACTAAATAGATACCCATTTTACCCAAAGTATTCCCTCTGTTTTGAGGATACAGTGCTATCCAATATGAAAAAGCCTTTGAACAGAATAAATTGTATCATTTCAATCTAATAAAGAAAACCATCAATTTCCACAGCATTCAGCATTTACCTAAATTATATTCACACTTCTTGGCAGTGTTACTATAGTATCTTGAGTTCCACAGCTTGACTGGATCAATGCCAAAGTGTAGTAAAAACTATTAGAGATGTTGGGGTAAACACCTCCAGAAAGGAAGACATTACTTTTACTACAAGAGTAGGCAAAGTATAACTCCAGGCAGAATGCAACCCCCAAGATCATTTTTGTGGTTTAAAAAAGTACAGAAAACAGCTTCTTGTTATTAAAAATACCTCTTTTTATAACATTTGTGTATATTAATATTATTATTCTTGTTGTTACTTTTATTTGTATACTACTTTCTTTCTCAGGGTTGAGACCTAAAGCAGCTCAAAACTTTAAATACTATGCAATTAAGAACTAAGATTTGCCAAAATTAAAAACACAAATTATTCTTATGTTTTTCTTCAAATCAGTTCCAAATAACAAGTTCATTTCAGATGCCATAATAAAAATAACAGCAGCTCTGTATAAAGATTTGCTGATTTATTTTGTTTTCCATTACCTGCATGTCCATGGAGTGGTGAATGTGGCCGTGGAAGTGTTGGAGATGTGCTAGAAGTTACAATCAAGCTCTTCCTGTTACTGGTCCGACAGCTGAAATAAAAGTAAAGAATCAGAGATATTTTAACAGAGATAGATGTATGTTAGGGCATTAAGGGCATGTTAGCATTGTGTGGAAATCTATGTTGTTTCCAGATATAAAAATATAAAGAACGATGTCAAAACATTTCTATCCTATATTATATATGGTATTTGAGTAAACAAGTTTCACAGAGTTTACTAATTTTATTAGCTAAACAGTTTACTGATCTACACACTCTGCTGTTACAGTTTCAGTGCTACAGATCTCTCAAAAGTATGTAAAATAAACGAATGACATCTAACAGACATAGAGAGTATGTGCCTGACTCCAGAATGAAGGAGGGAAAGGACCTCCCTGCTTAGCTCATGATCCACATACTGGGTGACTGCGTGAACTGTATTAATTAAAAAGAGTAGTGGAACAATATGTCATGATCTAGAAGCAACTAAATTTGTTTTTTCTGGCTTCACTAATAAAAACATACGAACACTGATTCAAAAGATATGATGCACACAATACTTACTATATCATTACATTTTATCACAGAATATATTACATTACTTCAACAAATTTCAGCAAACTTTCATTATCAATATGACACAAGCAGAAAATATTGAAATTTGCAAGAATGACAACAGAGGTCTGACCATAAATCTCTAGAGTTCAAAAGAGAAAAGTAATTATATCTCAAAATATGAAACAGAATTCCATGCAGAAGAAAAAAACAGTATGTAGAAAAAGGATAAAAACACATTCTGCTATAGATAAAAAGAACATTTATTTGCAAAGGTGGAATAAAAGCTCATTGCTATTCATTTCCTATTATCTCTTACTCCTTTTGTCTTTCACTAGATAGTCATGAATACGAATATGAAAAAAACAGTATAAAAATAATTTTCAAGGAGGGGGGATGTTCCAGAACAAAGACAAATGCTGACCTGACATAACACTTTTCTATCTCTTTATCTGAAAACCTTATAGCTCCATAAAATGATGTTGGGATAAACAAACACATGTAAAACAAATGAAACCCCCAATAATCATCATTGATTTTCTGTGTCTCTTGATGTTTTTATTCTAAGGCTAGCTCTAGTACTCAGCATTACTCAGGAGAATCATTAACCATCATTAATGATTATTCAGTTTCAACTATTCTGGCAAATGAGTGGATAATTCAAGTATTCTTCATGTTATACATCTGTCTCATTTGCCTTTGATAGATGACGCCTCTCCCAATGAGCCATCAAATACAGTATGAGTAAAAGAAAAATAACTAGAATTCTGTCTACAAAATGAATGCCCTGTACATTATTAGCTGTATCTTGAATAAGGTATCCTTTACTGATTTGGTGAAAATCCATCAAGCCATTTACCCATTATGCAAACATACAGAAACTTAATTATGCATTTATGCATAATATTTTCAAAATCTTTGAAATGATGTGCCTCAGTATTCTACAAGGGGTATTTTTTAAGTAAGGTCCGTTTTGTTGTAGACACTAGTAGTTCGCATGCATACCGCAACGAGCGTGCGTCGTGTACCGGCATGCCTCGGGAACAACTGTGCTCAGTTTCCGCTCTGTAGCTAACCTGTACGGTTCTGTTCTGTGCTTTAAAAGTGTTTAAGACTATCAACTCACCCTCCGCATGTGAGGTTCGCTCAGTGATACGGTTTTTGTCAGCAAGGAACCTGCCTGCTGCAGAAATTCATCGACAGATTTGTGAAGTGTACGGTGATACTGTTATGAGTGAAAGCAAAGTGCGTAAGTGGGTACAACAATTCAAAGATGGCCGTGACAACATCCATGATGAGGACCGCTCCGGTCGCCCTTCTTTGATTACAGACGATTTGGTGGCTTCAGTTGAAGCGAGGATTCGTGAGAACAGGCGCTTTACAATAACAGGTCTCTCAAACAAATTTCCTGACGTGTCGAGATCAGTGCTTTACAACATTGTTTCTGAACACCTAAAGTTTAGGAAACTGTGCTCCCGTTGGGTCCCGAAACTCCTAACAGAGGACCACAAAAACCAAAGATTTGAGTGTGTGATCAAATCAAATCATCTGTAATCAAAGAAGGGCGCGTACCCACTTACGCACTTTGCTTTCACTCATAACAGTATCACCGTACACTTCACAAATCTGTCAATGAATTTCTGCAGCAGGCAGGTTCCTTGCTGACAAAAACCGTATCACTGAGTGAACCTCACATGCGGAGGGTGAGTTGATAAGTCTTATACATTTTTAAAACACAGAAGAGAACCGTACAGGTTAGCTACAGAGCGGAAACTGAGCACACTTGTTCCCGAGGCATGCCGGTACACAACGCACGCGCTCGTTGCAGTATGCACGCGAACTACTAGTGTCTACAACAAAATGGACCTTACTTAAAAAATACTCCTCGTATATGAATGAAAAAAATGAGTGTCCCACAGACTTTTCAAACTGAATTTCATGTGCACCATGTATGGCCTATATCTTAAGTCAGACCAAGGCAAACATGCCCTCCAGATTTTGTGAAAATCCAAAAGAGAAGCGATGGGATGGAAAGCGTGTCCTGTGCAATGTGTTTCTTCAGTGAATTTTCTATAAGTCCATATCTTAAGTCAGAGCAGCCTAAAGATACACTCCAAATTTAGTAATGATTACACCATTTTCACATGAAACAATGAACATATAAACTGACAAACACACTATTTATAGAAATAAGTTCATTATTGTTCAGTAGATAAGCAAGAGCACCTTATGCAACAGTAAACTGATTGAGCTATCTACAATCTGAAGTAATCTTAAAATGCTTAATTGAGTACCTGTGTTTATTTGAGTCTAATGAATCATCAAATTTAATGCACACCTCAATTTTCAAAATGCTGAAACCAAAAAAGTATTTGCTGTCGAATGTAATGCGCAACAGCAAAAATGGCATTCTTTGTCATTTAGAACACCAAAGTTTCCAACAATGGAAAATAATACCTTAGGATGCATCTATGCTGTAGTAGAATGAATCCACTTTAATTGCCTTGGTTCAATGCAACAGAATCATGGGAGCTGCAATTTTACAATGTTTTGAGCCTTCCTGCCAAACTTCAAATCCCAGGACGGCACAGCACTGAGACATGGCAATTAAATTAGAGGTGACATCCTTGAAAATAAGAACTCCTGGGGAAGATTCCCCTTTTGCTTTGGCTCAGCACTAAGATTACCGTATTACTCAAATCTAAACTTTAATTTTGGCGAGATAATTTAGTCAAAAACGGTGAGCATTACATTCAAGTAAATGGTGTAAGTGAGAGGATCTTTTCAAAGAAAGATTATTAAACAAAACATTAAGTTTCAGCCTTGTGTGATTACCTCCCAGGACAGCTCTACACAAACATTTGAACACAATCTGAAGTCGGCTTAAGGATGAGTTGTCCACAAAATGCACAACCAAATGAATGTTGCAGCGCGCATAAAGCCAGCACTCTAAAATAACCTAAACAGAAAGTTCAAAATAAGCAAGAAATGTTCTGCAGTTATTCAATGCAGGGCTCAAAATTAGGACTGAAAAATGTGGGGCACTTGTTAGGACATTCTTAATGTTGAAGCTCTCTAAAAACAAACCAAAACACACTAAAACCATGACTCCCCTGGAAGAAGAAACCACATAATTCCCATGAAACTTTTGCTTTCCATCCCTTTGTTCTCATTTCCTGCGCCCTGCTACAGTCTGGTTCTGAACCCAAATGGACATGGATATGCATATCAGTACATCTCAGCGGGTCAATTAAGAAAAAAATGCATTTTCAGTGGCTATCTAGCCACAGTTACTGCAATTCCTGGGTTCGGCACCGATCCACAATCAACGGATATTGTGGACACTATCTTAACCTTGAACCAGTTCCTGGGGTGTTTGTGTAGGCACTGCACAGAAAAACCAGTTTGTTTAATCCACTTCAAAACTGTGTAGCACCGTCCTCAGTTTAATGTATACATTAATAAAGTATGGCCAGCTTAATGTGTTGAATGAAACCCTGCAGAATGAAGTTACAAAGCAAGATGGGAGGAGCAAATCATAGACAAGGAAGAAGGAGACTGATGTTAACCTCAAATGGTTGTGCCATTTGACAGTAGTCCAAAATGAAGTATTTTTAATTAATCAAATGTGAATTTTAATGGATAACTATTACAATGTGAGCTGTTAGCATAAAAATGGTCAAATATACGCCCTCTCAAGCCTTCTTCAATTTATTTGTTACCTACTGTCAAGCCATATATCAGAACGTACGAAATTTACAGAATTTACTCTGTAATTATAACACCTACTCTGCCACGTAATTCAATCCAAACCAGAATACACATAATGTTTACTGGCTACAATATGTATTGACCAACATCAAAACACATAACTCACCTTCAGATCAGTAACAATGTTGAAAGCTAACCAAGAAATACTGTAGAAAAGCTACAAACTGATATTACATGTATTGGTGCACTGATAACCATGGAATCCAGCAAGTAAAAATAGCATGTGTTACGTGTGCTTATGAGTTCCCAATGCATTCTTCGCGTTCAACACTATGGAACACTGGCCTCAGATATTGTAACAGGATACTATGGCTCAGCTCTTTTTCAGCACTGGGTTACTAAGGTAAGGTATGAGAAATGTACAGGTGAAAGGAAAAGCAAATATACATGTGTTGTAATATGGGATAATGTTACCTCCAATATTTTCAGGCTAAGAACTTTCTCAGAGCACATTTCACTGCACATTTTAGCTATACGTTTATTAACTGTCTCTGGGGTGAGAAATTGTGACCCCACTTTCTCTACATTTTAAGAAGGACTGGGAACGCTAACATTAAAAATGGGGGAGGGCCTTCCAGTAAGGCTTCAGTGAATACAAAAATGGGAGTCAGAGAAGGTATTTTCTCCACCTTTGATTTAAAACATAATAACTTAATAGGTATCTAGTTGCTATTTTCAGGGGGGAGACTGTGATGTTTAAAATTTCTTAATGAGACTGTCTTTGTT